CTGCGTGGTATGGGGGGGTGCCCCAGCCCCCCGAGTGCATGTGGCGCTGTCTGCAGGGGCCTTTGAGGACTGCTGCCTGGCTTACCACCGCCATGTACCCTGGTCCCAGTTAAAGCGTGTCAAGAACTACCACTGTCAGCAGGTCAGCGGCGGCTGCAACCTGCCCGCCGTGATGTGAGTGTGGGCACCATGGGGGGTCTTGGTGGGTGCGGGGAGTCTGAGCGCGCCCACCCCGCCCTCTCTCACCCTGGCGCCCCTCTCGCCCCCGCCCGCCTGCCAGATTGTTTCTACCCGGGAGGATTCTGTGCGGCCACCCCCGGGACAAGAAGGTGCACAGGGCCATCAAGCTCTTGGAGAAACGGCGTAAAAAAAAGCAAGGTAACGGGGAGCCTGACCCCGCACGAGCTTCTCTGCCCCCCACAGCGGGGAGGGTCACACTTCAGCAATGTGGACATCCCCCTCTCCCATATTCCTTTTGGGCCAGTAGTGGGTGAGAGATGTGTGAACCCCCCTTTTTATTTATTTATTTTTATTTTTTTAATTATTATTATTATTTTTTTTGCTTTTTGAGTCACACCCGGCGATGCTCAGGGGTTCCTCCTGGCTCATGCACTCAGGAATCACTCCTGGCAGTGCTCAGGGGACCCTATGGGATGCTGGGAATCGAACCCAGGTCAGCCACGTGCAAGGCAAACGCCCTACCCGCCCCGCTGTGCTATCGCTCCAGCCCCAACCCCTCCTTTTTATTTGAAAAAAAATATATAGGGGCTGGAGTGATAGCACAGCGGGTAGGACGTTTGCCTTGCACGTGGCCAACCTGGGTTCGATTCCCAGCATCCCATATGGTCCCCTGAGCACCGCTGGGGTGATTCCTGAGTACAAAGCCAGGCGTAAGTAACCCCTGAGCATCGCCGGGTGTGACCCAAAAAGCAAAACTAAATAAATAATTAATTAAATTTAAAAAATATATAATGGGCTGGAGCACTAGTACAGCATGGAAAGCACTTGCCTTGCATATGTGGCTGACCCGGGTTCAAGGCCCAGCACTCCAAAGGGACCCCTGCGTCCCACCAGGAGTGATCTCTGAGCACAGAGCCGGGAGTAACCTGAGTCCCACCAAGAGTGAGCCCTGAGCACAAGTACAGAGCCAGGAGTAAGTCCTGAGCAGCACCAGGTATGAACCCATCCCCCCAAATTTTTTGGGGGGGCCACACCTGTCGGTGTTTAGGACTTACTCCTGGCTCTGCGCTCAAGGGCCACTCCTAGCAGTTCCCAGGGATCATCTGGGGGGCCCGGGAGAAAACCCGGTCAGCCTCCGGCAAGGCATCCTCCCTCCCTGCTGGACTACCTCTCCAGCCACTGGACTCCCTCTTTTTAAGGAATATACAGTCACGGTTGGGCTGGAGCGATAGCACAGCGGTAGGGCGTTTGCCTTGCGCGCAGCCAGCCCGGCTGAGCCGGGTTCGATTCCTCTGCCCCTCTCTGAGAGCCAGGCAAGCTACCGAGAGGATCTCGCCTGCACGGCAAAGCCTGGCAAGGTCCCCGTGACGTATTCGATATGCCAAACACAGTAACAACAAGTCTCAAAGTGGAGACGTTACTGGGCCTGCTCGAGCAAATCAATAAACAACGGGAGGACAGTGACAGTGAGTCATGGTCAGGAGACTTGAAAAATGTCAACGGGGGGGTGGGGCGCTGGAGCGATAGCATAGCAGGTAGGGCGTTTGCCTTGCACAGAGCTGACCCAGTTTAGATACTCAGCATCCCAAACGGTCCCCGATCCTCACCAGAAGTAACTCCTGAGTGCAGTCAGGAGTAAGCCGTGTGCATCTCCAGGTGTGACCCAAAATGCAAAAAAAAAAAAAAAAAAAAAAAAAGTCAACAGCAAACTCATTGGTTTAAGTAACCACAAAAGGGGCTTCAGGCACGGCTGGATCCAGGCGCCCGAAAAGGATCGCTTTCTCTTGCACAGGTCCTCTGACGGGGCCGGGGAAGCTGAATCTCAGGCTTCAGTCTAAGGGTCCCCCAGGCAGTCAAGGTAAGAGGAGGGCTCGGGGCGAGCACCGGAGGCAGGAGGCTTACCTGCGGGCCTTACCGTGAACCTTCCATCCTAGGTTCCTGTCTGCTGTCCTGATCCCATCCCTGCCACCTTGGGACTTCAGCAAGTCGACGGCGGCCCAGAGGCCTGAGGCTGTCGCCCATTTCTGGTCTCAGCAATCCCTCCAGGGCGACCTGATCTCGGGTCTCTCAGGAGCGGCTGCCAAAGGAGGCTGCCCTGCACACCACCAGACCCGCAGACACCCCCCAGCCGGAGCCCTCCTGCCTGCTCTCACGCTCCTCCTCCCTCACCCCTGCAGTCACGGAAAGGGTGAGGGTTGGCAGGGGCTGCTCTAACCTTAAACTCCTTCACTGCCAGGTGGGCACTGGCCATGGCCCAGGGGGACAGGCCTCCGCCCCTGCAACTTCTGGACATGCCCACCTGCCAGGTCACACCTGCTCCAGGGAACTTTTGTGTCCTTGATTCTTCGGCCAGTCCTTCCCTCTCTACTGCTTTGAAATAAATCAGATTCCCCCTTCGGATGTGTCTGAACCCGGGGTGCTGCAATCTTGGGGTGCTCGCAGCTCCCATAGCGGAGGAAACGGGTGAGCAGGGCTGGGTGGGAATGTAACCCTGTGTGTCCTAGTTGGGGACTTCGGAGGGGAGGCCACACCCCGTGGTGCTCAGGGGCTCACTCCTGGCAGTGCCTGGGGGACCCTCGGTGGCGCCAGGGATCGAACCCGAGTCGGCCAGCCGCACCCTGACCCCCAGACTGTCTTTCTGGCCCCACAGTTGGTGGCTCTGAAATCTCCCTCCTGACCTCCTGGGTGGGATATCAAACCCAAGGGCTCAGGGCTGGAGCGATAGTACAGCGGGTAGGGCGTTTGCCTTGCATGCAGCCAACATGGCCAACCCAGGTTCGATTCCCAGCATCCCATGTGGTCCCCCGAGCACTGCCAGGAGTAATTCCTGAGTGCATGAGCCAAGAATAACCCCTGAGCATCGCCGGGTGTGACCCAAAAAGAAAAAAAAAATATCCAAGGGCTCACCCATGCTGGTGATGCTGAACAATCCACTCCTGAAGGGGCTGGAGTGATAGTCCAGGAGCGAGGACACTTGCCTTGCATGCGGTCGACCGGGTTCGATCCCCGGCACACCAGAGCATCCCCCGAGCACTGCCTGGAGTGAGCCCTGAGCACTGCTAGCTGTGGCCCAAAAGCCAAAAAGAAACAGGGAACAGGGACCGGAGACCAGAGCTGCGGGGAATCCTGGGGTGCCCCCCTCCACAGCCCGGGCATCCTGGTCGGGTGTAGGTGGGGGTCTTCATCCAACTCTCCCTGGCTGGTTCCTCACCCCCACCCTGAACTGAGACCCAGCTCCCTAAAGCCACCCCTGCCCCCTCCTCTCCACGGACTTGCCGGCATTAACCCCGAATAACTTTATTGTTGCATCACTGCGATGTCTGCCGGCTCCCGCCATCCCAGGGTGGGACACGAATGCGACTGGGGTGTCCCCAACGCTGCTTGAGGTCCTGGGGCGCCCCCACGAGCCTCTTCCTCCCCCAGCCACCGCTTCCCAGTGTCCTGCTGGCTCCCGGGGACGCAGCCATGCCGGGATGCGGAAGCCCGAGGTGGGTCCCGATTTCGTCCGTCCTTGATGGACCCCGGTGTTCAGGGAGGGCGCGGGGTGCGAGGCGCGCGCTTATCTCTTCCAGGAAATGTGATAATGGGGTTCCCCCGGGGGGGAGAGAAGGCTGGAGGCTGGAGGGGAGCGTTTCCTGCTTCCTGCACGTCGGGCTGCCTTGTGCACTTGGAGATCCATTGATTGGTGCACCCCGGGCTGAGAACTTCCTGCCTCTGGAGACGGTGGCAGGGAGTGTGTGTGTGTGTGTGCGTGTGTGTATGTGTGTATATGGGCGTATGTACACGGGGATGTATTTGTATGTGTGTGAATGCGGATACGCGTACATATGTGTGCATGGATGTGTGTATATCCATGTGTGTGGATGTGTAGGGATGTGTACATGTGTATGTAATATGTGTGTAAGTGTGTGTATGTGTATGTGGGTATGCGCGTATGGATTTGTATGTATATTTGTGTGTATGTGTGTATGCTGTTTATGTGTATTTGTGTATATACGGGGGGTGTTTATGTGTATATGTGTATTTGTGTGTATATGTATGTATGCGTGTGTGTGTGGGTGTTTATGTGTATTTGTGTGTGAGTGGGTGTTAATGTGTATCTGTGTGTGTGTATTTGTGTGTAGGTGCATGTATGAGTGTGTGTTTATGTGTATTTGTGTATATGTATGTGTGTATGGCTGTGTGTGTATTTGTGTGTGGGGGTGTTTATGTGTATATATGTATTTGTGTGTATGAGTGTGTGTGGGTGTTTATGTGTATTTGTGTGTATGTATGTGTGTATGGGTGTGTGTGTTTGTGTGTATGTGTATGTATGCATGTGTGTGGGTGTTTATGTGTATTTGTGTATATGTATGTGTGTATGACTATGTGTGTATTTGTGTGTGTGGGGGTGTTTATGTGTATATATGTATTTGTGTGTATGTGTGTATGAGTGTGTGTGGGTGTTTATGTGTATCTGTGTGTGTGTATTTGGGTGTATGTATTTGTGTTATGGGTGTATTTGTGTGTATGTGTGTGTATGCATGTGTGTGTGGGTGTTTACGTGTATTTGTGTGGATGTATGTGTGTACAGGTGTGTATGTGTGTGCATGTATGGGTGTGTGTGGAGGGTGTCTGTGTGTTTGTGTGTACGTATGTGTGTGTGTGAGAGAGAGGCGTGAGGTGCCGTTGAGGTCACGGCTTGGGGCTGCTCCCTGCTGTGTAGGACGACCAAGTCCCTGCTCCCCCAAACTCCCTTGGAAGAGAGTCGGGCTGAGAAGCTGGAGGAAGGGACTCGGGGAGGCGGGCGAGTGGGGGCCGGAGGTGTGGGGGGTCCCCCACTACAGTACCTGGAACAACAACCTTAGCCTCAGGGGCCCAGCCCGGGGTCCCGGTCGCATGTCCGGCCGGGGACTCTCAGGCCTGGCCATGCTGGCCACGTCCAGCTGGTAGGTGCCGGGCCCCGGCTTCCGGCGCAGGAGGAGGGTACTGAGGCCCCGGCGGCAGCGCAGGCGGAAGAGGTGGTGGCCGGTGCCCCCAACGATGACGTAGCGGCCCCAGGCCCCCGGGCCGGCCAGTGCAGGCCGCAGGTCCAGGATGTGGCGGGCCGGGCCCAGGCGAGAGACATCCAGGCTTAGAGTCAGAGGGGCCGTGGAGTCCAGGCTGGCCAGGCTCACCTGGGGACGGAGACCGGGGTCAGCGCGACGGCAGGGAGCCGGCGGGAACATCTGGCCATCCTCTCTCTCTTGCTGGTGTTTGCTGGGTCGTGCCTGGTGGCACTCGGGACTGTGTCGGGGATCGAACTCGGGGCTCCCTCACCCCACAGTCGATGCTGTGGCCTGCTGAGCCAGCTCCCTGCGCTTCTCCACTGCAGATGGGCTCCTTCCAAAACAAACACCCGCCTCCCCCAAGAAAAACGGGGGCCAGAGCAGGGGCTGGAGCGATAGCACAGCGGGTAGGGCGTTTGCTTTGCACGCGGCCCACCCGGGTTCGATTCCCAGCATCCCATATGGTCCCCTGAGCACCGCCAGGAGTAACTCCTGAGTGCATGAACCAGGAGTAACCCCTGAGCATCGCCGGGTGTGACCCAAAAAGCAAAAAAAAAAGGGGGTGGCCAGAGCACTGGGGCGGACATCTGCCTTGCATTTGGCCAACCTGGGTTCGATCCCTAGGGAACTGCTGCCAGGAGTGAGCCCTGAGCACCTCTAGGTATAGCAAAAAGGGGGAAAAAAAAAAAGAAAAAGGCAGAGGAGCTCTTTTCCCACGGGGGTGCGGGTGGGGGAGAAATCCCTGATCCTCACGCCTGTGTTCACTGGTGATTTTTTGGTGGCCACACCCAGCAGTGCTCAAGACTTACTCCTGGCTCTGTGCTCAGGGAGCACTCCTGGCAGGGCTCAGAGTGTTGCCGGGAACCGAAGTGCCTAATCCTGCTGACTCTTCAGCCCTGTTTCCTGAAATTTTGGGGCCACACCCGGCAGTGCTCAGGGCTGACTCCTGGCTCTGTGCTCAGAGATCACTCCTGGTGGGGCTTGGGGGAATGTATGGGTTGCTGGGTTGGAGCTCGGGTCGGTTGTGTGCTGGGGAAACGCCCTCCGCACTGTCCTGTCAGCTCTGTTCCATCTTTTTAATTATTTTTTTAATTTCTTTTTGGGTCACACCCGGTGATGCACAGGGGTTCCTCCTGGCTCATGCACTCAGGAGTTACTCCTGGCAGTGCTCAGGGGACCATATGGGATGCTGGGAATCGAACCCAGGTCGGCTGTGTGAAAGGCAAATGTCCTACCTGCTGTGCTAATGCTCCAGCCCCTCTGTTCCATCTTTGTATCTGGGCTGTTCCCAGCAGTGCTCAGGGGCCCCGGGGGGAGGGGTCTGGGTTGGAAACTGAGGCTCCTGTACCCAAAAGCCTGAGCTGCTCCAGCCCGTCTTCAGAGATGCAGCCATGAGACCACAAGGCCAGGTGCCATGATGGACAGTGGTCAAAAGGCAGATTCTGGTACCCTGCTGCAAAGCAGGGCTGGGTCGGGGGTCTGTATAGTGGGAGGCCTCAAGCCCTGCCTGGGGTGCTCAGGATCCTTCCAGGTGGTTCCGGCGAAGGCTGGAGCCAGACGATCCACAGGGCGGCTGACAGCCTTTGGGTTCCTGGGTCTGAGGAACTTCCGGTAGCTCGGTGCTGGGAATTCCACTGTGTGGGGGTGATAAACCCCTTTTCTCTGGGTGCCTCCAAGCCCCTCTGGGCCCTGGCAGCCAGCAGAGCCCAAGTGAGCTGGGGCCGGGGGTCTCCCAGGGCCCACGAGCCAGCCCAGGGGTGATCATGTGTACTGTCACCCCTCAGCTCAGACAACATGCTGCTGGAGGCTGTGTGCATGCATGTGTGTACGTGTGTGTTTGTATATGTGTTTGTGTGTGTCTACTGTAGGTGTATGTGTGTATCTATATGTGTGTGTGTTCGCGTCTATGTGTATTTGTGTGCTTTTGTGAATTTTGTGTATGGGTGCTTATGTGTTTGTGTGTCTGTGTATGTCAATGTGTTGTATGTTTGTGTGCATGTGTGTATCTTGTGTATTGTTTGTGTGTGCACATGTATACGTGTGCATGTGTGCCTTGGGGGTGGGTGGGAGGGTGCTGTCCCTGCAGTCTGATGGACACTCTTCAGGCACGTGCTTTGACTGACCCCTGCTGGCTGACTGTGTGTATTGCAGGCAGAGTCAGGCACCTGGTTCTCTGCCCAAGCCCTGCCCAAGCCCAATTCCAGGACAAGCGCTAACCCCACACTGGGCGGCCACAGGGTTCTGCCCTTGGGACTCTGACAGAAAATAACAATGGGTTAACACAGGGCTGGAACGACAGCATGGTGGGAAGGGCACTTGCTTTGCATGCAGGTAACCTGGGTTTGATTCCTGACACCTCATGTATTTCCCCGAATCCCAACCAGGGGTAATTCTGAGCACAGAACAGGGACTAAGCTCTGAGCACTGCTGGGTGTGACCCCAAATCCTCATTAAAAAGAAAGAAAGGGGCTGGAGCGATAGCACAGCGGGTAGGGCGTTTGCCTTGCACACAGCCAACATGGCCAACACAGGTTCGATTCCCAGCATCCCATATGGTCCCCTGAACACCGCCAGGAGAAATTCCTGAGTGCATGAGCCAGGAGTGACCCCTGAGCATCGCCAGGTGTGACCCAAAAAGCAAAAAAAAAAAAAAACCACAGGGCAAGTTGGGGTGTGTGTGGCCTTTCTACCTTAACTACTGTCCCCCGGCCCATCTCTCACCCCTCGATCCCCCACTTCCACGCCTCCTTGCAGCACCTGATGGTCCCCACCAGGCGCGCTGCGCCGGGCCCGGTCCAGAGTGGGGGGCCCATTGATTCTGCATTCGTAGCAGGCTTCTGGGGGTTGCTGGTCCCCTTCTTCTGGGGGGTCCTGGGGGCCCGGGCTGAAGGCTGGGCTGGAGACGCAGTGCCTGGATGAGGAAGCAGAGAAGGGGCAGGACTTCAGGCCCCGGGTGGGGGCTCCCCTGACACCCCAGGGGCCGACAGTGATGTTAGCGGGCACAGGTGTCCCCGGGCACGCGCGTCTCAGCTCACTTATGAGTGAGCCCTGGCACCGAGGTGACACGTGGGTGCACTTGGGGGCTACTTTCCTGCGTGCCCCTGCAGAGGGGGGTCTGCATAGGCAAAGCCACGTGCACCCCGGGGTGCGAGCCTTGCCAGAACCCATTCCCGGGAGGCAGGCAGTGGGCGCTTTGCTGCTGCCGGACCGCGGAGGCAGTGCGCGTGACGGCCGCCAGGGGGTGCTGTGCAACTGGCCGGCCACAGCTGGGTCCACTCAGGCGCCCCTTTCTCTGGTCCCCGGGGGTCGCTTCCCTGTGCCCACGTGGCTGCAAGCTGGGAATGTTTTTTTTTTTTGAAGAGGGGTCGGGGTTGGCCTCACTCACCCTTGCCCAGCCCGGAAGAAGCCTGGGGGGCAGCCACACAGGAAGCCACCTGGCGCGTTGGCACAGCCGTAGCTGCAGGGGACCCCCGGCGACGCGCACTCGTCCACGTCCCGGCAGCTGGCCAGCGCCTGGTCGAAGTCGAAGCCCGAGGGGCAGACACAGCGGAAGCTGCCCAGCGTGTTGTGACAGACGGCGCTGCCGCAGGCCTCGGGGGACAGGGCACACTCGTTCTCATCTGGGGGCGGGAGGGACACGCAAGGGGGACAAGAGAGGGCGTGGGAGGGGGTGGGGGGGTGGGGGCCCCGGAGGCTGGAGCCCCACTTGGCTAGTCTGTCTCCGCCTTAGGAGCCCCTGGTGGGGTGGTCAGCACCAAGCCCCAATCATGGGCACTCTGGGATCAATTTCTTTATTTCCCTTCCTTCCTTCCTTCCTTCCTTCCTTCCTTCCTTCCTTCCTTCCTTCCTTCCTTCCTCTCTTTCTCCCTCCCTCCCTTCCCTTGTCACACCTGGCGATGCACAGGGGTTCCTCCTGGCTTTGCACTCAGGAATGACTCCTGGCGGTGCTCGGGGGACCCTATGGGATGCTGGGAATCGAACCCGGGTCGGCCGCGTGCAAGGCAAACGCCCGACCCACTGTGCTATGGCCACAGCCCCTGGGATCAGTTTCTTAAAACTGTCGGAGGTCCATATATAGAAATTGGTTTGGATCTCTAAATATGTTTTGGAGGGGATGCTCAGGGCTGACTCCTGGCTCTGTTGCATTCGGGGATCACTCCTGGTGCTGCTCAGGGGACCTTCTGGGTTGCCAAAGATCGAAGCTGAGTTGGCCACGTGCAAGGCCAGCGCCCTCCCCGCTGGACTATTGTCCCTTTTGAGCTGATCTAGAAGTAGATTCTGCACCTTCTGGTGGTGAGGCGGATGATGAGGGCGACTAGTTCAGGCCACACATCACAGCCAAGGGCATACCAGGCACAGCCCAGGCTGGCCGCTATCCCGCCCTCCCCCCGCCCCCAGATGGCAGCAGAACCGTCTCCAAGTTACAAAGTGCCCCCGGTTGCAAGGTGGGAGTGACAGGGCCACGAGCCGGGAGCTACTGGTCCAGCGGATCCCAGTCCCTGCTACTAGGCAGGACGCTTGAGGGCACAGCCAGGAATGGGTTCCTGACTCACTTGTGGCAGCCTCAGGATCTGATGTAGGGCCGGGGCCAGGCAGCTCATGGCTGGAGGAAATGGGTCGGAAGAGGCCCCGAGGGCATAGTGGGAAGTGGAGTGAAGGCTGACCCCTGAGGTGGCAGGTGCGTGGGGACAGCCAGGTCACAGAGACCAGGCCTGAAGGGAGTGGCCAGGAGGGTCAAGCAGTGGTGCGCAGGACAGGGAAGGTGGACACTGAGGGAAGGGGATGGGGGGGGGGGTGGGTTCTGCCAGGGTGGTGGCAGGAGAGGGGATGAGACCAAAGATGAGGGGGCCCTGGGGCAGCAGAGAAGCATGTGCTGGTCAGGGTGAGGCACAAGTTTAGGGCTTTCTGCTACAGCCATGGCCGTGAGACAGAAGCACCTTCCCACAACCATGGCCTAACTCTGCCCATGGCAGACATCACCAATCAACAGCACTGGACCCAGCAACCACAGACATCACCAATTAACAGCACACATTAGAGGTATCACCAATCGATCACTGCACCATCACAGACATCACCAATCAACCACAGCACCATCAGACATCACCAATCAACCACAGCACCACCAAAAAAATCACCAGTCACCACCACAGACATTACCAATCAACTACAGCACCGTCAGACATCACCAATCAATCACAGCCCCACCACAGACCCCGATTAGAGCACCCGTTATAGACATTGGGCTGGAGCCATAGCATAGCGGTAGGGCGTTTGCCTTGCACTCAGCCAGCCCGGCCAAGCCGGGTTCGATTCCTCCGGCCTTCTCGGAGAGCCCGGCAAGCATACCGAGAGTATCTCGCCCACACGGCAAAGCCTGGCAAGCTCCCCGCGACGTATTCGATATGCCAGACACAGTAACAACAAAGTCTCCAATGGAGACGTTACTGGGCCCGCTCGAGCAAATCGATGAACAACGGGAGAACAGTGACATTATCAATTATGACACTCATCACAGACGTGACCCACCAATTACAGCACTCACCCCAGCCACCACAGACATCACCCATTACAGCACCGATCACAGACATCATCAGTGAATACGGCACTCATTCCAGCCACCGTAGACATCACCAATCAATTACAACATTCATTGCAGACCTCACCGATCAATTATATCACTCATCCCAATCACCACTGATACCAGCAACCACCGCTTTTGTCCCAGCCACTGCAGTAGTGGCCCTGCCACCAAAGACATCACCAACCACGGCACTCATCCCAGCCACTAGAGATGTCATCGCTCACAGCAGGGGTCCCAGATGTCACCGACCAATCACGGCACTCTTCCCAGCCGCCACAGACCTCACTGGCCCACAGTATTTATTCCAGCCACGACAACACCACCAGCCACTGCACTGGCCCCCCCGGCCCCTGGAGACGTCGCTGATGTCAGTCATCACCAACCACAGCCCTCTCGCAGGGCATCCCTTGTTGTCGTCCCGGTGACTACAGACATGATCAATCACAGCAGGCTTGCAGCCACTACAGGTCGATCTTGGATCCCTTCTCCAGGTCCCCCAGGGACGATCCCCCCACCCCACCCCACCCCTGGGCACACCCTCCCCACTCCCCAGCAGTGAGGGAGCTCAGTGCTACACAGGCCGGCCCCTGGCACCCGTGGGCGGCCGTGCTCCTCACAATCCCCACCGCCACCCGGATCAGACGGGGCTCTGGGCTCCCCGCCGACCCCCACTCACCCACACACTGGCTCCATTGAGCGTGCTCAGTGAAGCCTGGGGGGCAGTGGCAGCGGTAGCCCCCGGGCTCGTTCTGACAGCCGTGCCGGCAGCCGTGGGGCCCGTCGCACTCATCCACGTCTGCGAGAGAAAAAAGGGAGGGCGGCACATCATGTCAGACACAGTGACACAAACACAGGGTGCCCCTCCGGGCCCCGGCAATCGTTCCCACTGGGTTGAGACCCCCCAAAGCGCGACGCTACCTTGGCAGCCACGGCCTGATCCGTCCAGGGTGAAGCCCTTCGGGCACTCGCAGCTGAAGCTGCCCGGGGTGTTGCGGCAGCGCGCATGTGGCCCGCAGGGACCCGGTTGGTTCAGACACTCGTCACTGTCTGCAGGGGACAGAGGGTGGGGGTCAGGCCAGACACCCCACCGTGCATGGGCGGGCGGCTGGGTGGGCCCCCCTGGGTCCCCAAGGAGAACTAGGGACCCTGATGTTCCAGATGCCACCAGGACGCACGCGCACGTGGAACCCGCGGTGTCCCCTAGGTCCAGCACGCACGGGACGGGCTGGCGGCTACTTCTGTCACCCACCCGGCAGTGCAACTGGGGGGCTCACCAAAGCAGGCCTGGCGGTGCTGGGTGAAGCCCGGGGGACAGCGACAGACAAAGGCCCCGATGGTGTTGGCACAGAAAAACTGGCAGTTGTGACGCCGGGAAGAACATTCGTCGATGTCTGCGCACAGATGTCCCCAGGGTGCTCAGGGCGGCACCGGGGACCGGGGCTTGGTGCGGGGCGGGGGGGGTGCCCCTCGAGCTGGTACCCCCAGAGTACGCAAGGAAGCCCGAGGGGGCCCGATGGAGGGGGGATGTCACCTCCGCAGCGTCTGCCTCCCTCCTCCGGCAGGTAGCCCCGGGGACAGGCACACAGGAAGCTGCCCTCGGTGTTGTGGCAGAAGAAAGCGCATGGCTTGGGGGTCTGGCTACACTCGTCCACGTCTGGAGGGCACAAGGAGAGTCAGGCGGACCGTGTTGGAGGGGCTCCACCAAGGCTCTGTGTCCTGGGGGCCCAACGTGATATGGGACAGCAGTGAGAGGGCGTCAGCCTGGGTTCCATCCCGGGCATCACACACCTCTGGGGGTGACCCAAAACACACACACACACACACACACACACATAAAACTGCGGCATATCAGGAATTGGCACATTCCCCTTTTTCTCTTTTCTCTGGAAAATGCCATCGAGGGGGGTGGGAGATAGGTTAAGAGGCTGGCACGCATGCTTTTTATTTTTATTTTTTTTTTTTTTTTGCTTTTTGGGTCACACCCGGCGATGCACAGGGGTCACTCCCGGCTCATGCACTCAGGAATTACTCCTGGCGGTGCTCAGGGGGCCATATGGGATGCTGGGAATTGAACCCGGGTCAGCCGCGTGCAAGGCAAACGCCCTACCTGCTGTGCTATTGCTCCAGCCCCTGGCACGCACGCTTTGCAGGTGGGTTGCCTGGCACTGAGTGGTCCTGAGCACCACCAGATATGACCACTCCCCCCCACACACACACACATACACACGTCAGAGAAAATGTTTGATTTTTGGTGGGTCATGCGGGCCCAGTTCCAAAGACTCAACTCTCCCCTGGTAGCAGGAATGCAGCCACAAAGGGGTCAGGAGCCCCCGTGGCCATTCCCAGGTGCCAATAAAACTTTATCAACAAACCACAAGCAAGGGGCCGGAGTTTGCCAAGCCCTGTCTTCAGTGGATATACCTGCGACACCACATAACAGGACATTTTAGGACGTGCAGAGGAACAGGAAGTGGCCCGAGCGGGGGTGGCGGGGACAGAGCCCCGATGCTCTGCGGAATTCCAGTTGGCACTTTCTGCCACGGCTGCACAGGTGCTAGTGGTGACGCTGGTGCCAGGGAGAACGCTCGGCCCTCACACTCACTGGGCGTGGATACACCCCTGGCCCCTTGTTTATCTCTTTGCTTAGGTTTGTGGGTCACCCCCAGTGGTGCCGGGGGGGCGATGCACTTGGCAGTGCTCAGGGCAGGACTGGGATGGACCCCAGGTCTCCCCCACGGTGCCCTTGGAGCCGTCCCCCCCAACTGCTTGTCATTTTCCTTATGGGAAGGGGATGGAGGGGGATGGAGGGGTCTGGGAGTTGTGGGGGCGAGGCTCACCCAGGCAGGTGGTGGCGGAGGCATCGGCGGTGAAGCCGGCCTGACAGCGGCAGTGGAAGGAGCCCAGGCTGTTGACGCACTCGCCGTGGGGACACAGGGACGCCAGCATGCGACACTCGTCCACATCTGGAAGCACAGGGCTCAGCTAGTGGGGGCCGGGGGGATTCCGGGTCCCTGCCCGCTGGCCCCCGGGACAAGCCCCAGGTCCCCTGCCACCTGGGTCCTCCGCACTGCAGGGCACGGGGCTCAGGGACACTCGAGCGCTGTGGACAGCACTGCCGGCACCCTGGGACCCCCTGCACGCCCCCCTCCCGGGCCCTGGCCTCCCCCAGATCACACACACACACACACACACACATACACACACTCATACACTCACATACACATATGTATACACACACATACATCCACACGAACTCACACATAAACACCCTCAATATACACACACACTCACACTCATATATGACCTCACATGCATACACACTCACAAACTCACATGTACACACACATATACACAGAAACATGCACACTGACTCACGTACATGTTCACACATACACTCACAGTACAGTCACACCCGCAGACACACATAACACAAACACACCGCCTCATACTCATGCATGTGCACAGAGCACAAGACTTGCGTGACACCCAGACACAGACACAGGACACACGGCACCCAGGCTAGCTCCCACCCCCTGGATCCACACACTGCGCCCACTAGATCCACACACTGCGCCCACTAGATTCATGCACTGCGCCCACTGGATCCGCGCACTGCACCCACCGGACTCATGCACTGCACCCACCAGATCTGTGCACTGCACCCAGCCCAAGAATTCACTCCAGCCAGGCACAAGCCTCCACCCTCCAGGCTCCCGCCCCTCGCACAACCCCACACACGCGCGGGCAGGGAGGACACACGCACGCACGCATGCACACACGCACCTCGGCCCTCGGCCGTGTAGCCCGGGCCGTGGGGGCACAGCGTCCTGTGGGCGGGGGTGCCCGGCAGGGGACAGAGCTCGCAGCGGGGCCCCCAGCCCCGGCCTCCCCCACAGCAGCACTCGGCGTGGGTGACCGGCTCCCCGCCGCTCCACCCGGACTGGCACGCCGCTGGCAGCACCTCGGAGAAGCAGGGGCCCTGCCGGAAATCTGCGGAGAACGGGGGCACGTGGGGGGGCAGGTACAGGGCCCCCCCCAGCGCCTCGCGGGGTGGGCGCCTCGGCACGTGCTCCCAGGCACCTGGGCGACAGCACACGGCGCCTTCTTCCAAGCTTTTGTTTTGTTTGAGGGCCAGGCCAGGCGATGCTCAGGGGCTCCTCCTGGCTCTGGCTCAGGAATTACTCCTGGCAGTGCTCAGGGGACCATGTGGGATGCTGGGGGGGGGGGGGGTCGAGCCGCGTGGGTCTGCACGCCAGGCAAGGGCTCCCCCTGTCTTACTGGTCCCCCCGACCCCAAGTCTTTCTCTTTTGGCGGGGGGTCATTGAAGTCACACCCCGCAGTGCTCAGCAGCTACCCCTGCCTCTGTGCTCAGGGGACCTGACGTGGCGCCCGAGATGGAATCTGGGGTTGGTTGCATGCAAGGCGGGTGCGCTACCCACTGCACCACCTCGCCTGCCCCCAAGTCTTCCTTGCTGGGTGGCTCTGCAGATTCCCAGAAGTTTCCCAACGGGAACAGCACTCGACTGAGCAGAGCCAGTGGGTGAAGGTCCATGGGCTGAGCACCCCCCGCCAGGCGTGGGGGTGCGGGCCCGGTTGCACTCACCGTGGCACCTGTTGAGGGCAGGACTGGGCCGGAAGCCGGGGTCGCAGTGGCAGCGGAAGCTGCCCACCGTGTTGATGCAGTGGCCATGGGCGCAGGGGCGGGGCTCGGCGCCACATTCATCCTCATCTGAGGCAGGAGGTTGCAGGCAGGCCGGCCGGGGAGGAAGGGGGAGGCCCGAGACGCCCGCGTCGGCCTCCCCGACCGCCTGGAGGGCGTCGCCCGTCCAGGGCCGCCTCCAGGGCCGGCTCCCCGTGGCCTGCGACCTCTTCTGCCCTCCGTGGGGGGGCTAGGGGGACACCCCTGCACTCGGAAGCCGCAGTTACCTGTGCAGCCTTCCCCAGCACCGGGCTGGGGTCGCAGGCCCGGGGGACAGACGCAGGTGAAGGTGCCGATGAGATTCTTGCAAAGCATGCCCCGGGCGTGACAGTCCTGCTGCCCCGCAGCGCACTCGTCCACGTCTGCAAGAGGGATGGGGGCGGGGCCACGAAAAGAGGGCGGGGCGGTAGGCGGGGCCACGAGAGTGGAGCCAGGAGGGATGGGCGGAGCCAGGACGAGGAGGGCGTGGCAGTGAGCAGATCAGGATGGGGAGGGAGGTCGGTAGGCGGGGCCACGGAGGGGCGGGGGAAGTAGGCGGGGCCAGAAGAGAGTGGAGCCAGGAGGGATGGGCGGAGCCAGAACGAGGAGGGCGTGGCAGTGAGCGGACCAGGATGGGGAGGGAGGTCGGTAGGCGGGGCCACGGAGGGGCGGGGGAAGTAGGCGGGGCCAGAAGAGAGTGGAGCCAGGAGGGATGGGCGGAGCCAGAACGAGGAGGGCGTGGCAGTGAGCGGACCAGGATGGGGAGGGTGGGACGGTAGGCGGGGCCACGGAGGGATGGGGGAGTAGGCGGGGCCATAAGAGGGTGGAGCCAGGAGGGATGGGCGGATCCAGGACGAGGAGGGCGTGGCAGTGAGCGGACCAGGATGCGGAGGGCGGGACGGTAGGCGGGGCCACGGAGGGACGGGGGAGTAGGCGGGGCCATAAGAGGGTGGAGCCAGGAGGAATGGGCGGAGCCAGGACGAGGAGGGCATGGCAGTGAGCAGACCAGGATGGGGAGGGAGGGTCGGTAGGCGGGGCCACGGAGGGGCGGGGGAAGTAGGCGGGGCCAGAAGAGAGTGGAGCCAGGAGGGATGGGTGGAGCCAGGACGAGGAGGGCGTGGCAGTGAGCAGACCAGGATAGGGAGGGTGGGACGGTGGGCGGTGCCACAAAGGGGCGGGTGGAAGTAGGCGGGGTCACGAGAGGGTGGAGCCAGGAGGGATGGGCGGAGCCAGAACGAGGAAGGCGTGGCAGTGAGACCAGAATGGGAAGAGTGGGACGGTAGGCGGGGCCACGGAGGAGTGGGGAAAGTAGGCGGGGCCAGAAGAGAGTGGAGCCAGGAGGAATGGGCGGAGCCAGGACGAGGAGGGCGTGGCAGTGAGCAGACCAGGATGGGGAAGGCGGGACGGTAGGCGGGGCCACGGAGGGGCGGTGGAGGAGTAGGCGGGGCCATAAGAGGGTGGGGCCAGGAGGGATGGGCGGGGCCAAGATGGGTAGGGCGTGGCAGTGCGCAGACCAGGATGGGGAGGGGGGCGGTAGGTGGGGCCGTGATAGGGGTAGGGGCAGGTCAAGGGGGTGGGAGGGGGCAGAAAAGGGCGGCCATTGGGTCGAAGGGTGGGGATGGATGATCAGGGGTTGGGGGCGTTGCAGTTAGGGGAAGGGGTGAGTCAGAGTTTGGGGGGATTGCATGGTCGCGGTGGGTCAGGGGATGGGGGGATTGGATGGTCGGGGTGGGTCAAAGGTCAAAGGGTAAGGGATGCATGATGGATGAGGGGGCAGGGGAGGAAAGATGGCCGGGGTAGGTCAAGGGCAGGGCAGTTGGCCAGGGGCAGTGGGCCCTGGATGGCCTCGCACAGGGCCAACCCTCCCGGCCCCGCTGAGGTGTCCCAAAACGTCAAGGGTGGCCCCAAACACCCCATTTCCCGGGAGGGGTGTCTGTCACTGCAGCACGGTTGCTGCTGGGGAACAAGGGGCAGCCTTGAGGCCAGAGACATACTACAGTGGGGAGGGCGTTTGCCTTGCACGAGGCTGACCCGGGTTCGATTCTCAGCATCCCATACGGTCCCCCGAGCAACGCCAGGAGTAATTCCTGAGTGCAGAGCCAGGAGTAACCCCTGAGCATCACTGGGTGAGGCCCAAAAAGCAAAAACAAAACACGAAACCAAACTAACAAGTGGCAGCTATAGGGATCATCGCTTGCACCCTCTTACTGGGGGGATGGGCTGGGGACTCCGGGGTCAGAAAATTCCTTGTGGTGGCGGCAGTGGTGGGGCTTTTCTGTTCTTGGGGTCTGAGCGACAGCACAGCAGGGAGCACCCTTGTCTTGTATGCAGGCGACCCGGGTTCAATCCCAAGCATCTCCCCGATCCCCGCCCCACCAGGAGACATCCCTGAGCACCACTGGGTGGGACCCCACAATCAAAACAAATGAAGCAAACACCACAAAACACTGTCCGGGCACTTCTGCAGGGGCATCTGCACCCACACTCGTCTTTGAGCCTTGGGTCCCGGCAAGAGAGGCCAACACCCCGTTTTCCTGCCAGCAACATTCATGAAAGCAGCAGCAGCTGGGTCAGCGCCCCGCACTGGCACCCTCAGCCCAGCAAGCGCCCCCTCACTCTTCCTGCCCACCCTGAGCCAGGGGTCATGCTCGCCGGAGCCCGCGCGGTCCCCACCTCGGCACATGGCGCCGTCCTCCCGCAGGGAGTACCCTGCCGGGCAGATGCACACGTAGGACCCCTCCGTGTTGATGCAGCGGAAGGCGCAGAGCAGCGGGTTTCGAGAACACTCGTCGATGTCTGCGGAGGCCATGGAGTCAGCCTGGGGCACCCCCTGTTGCCATGTGCGAGGGGGTGGCAGGCAGGTTTGTACCCTCGCACGTCATCAGGGGTCCCGGCTCAAAGCCATCAGCGCAGGCACACTCGAAGCCTCCCACGACGTTCGTGCAGGTCCCTTCCCCGCAGGGCTGCCCGACGGAGCACTCGTCTGTGTCTGGGTGGGGGTGAGGGGCTGTTGAGCGCCTGCAGAGACCCCCCTCCTCCCCACCCCCACCCCCGGCCGCAGCCGTGTCCTAGTGATCTGTGTGCGGATGGCACCCGACCCCACAGGGCCTTCTGGGCAGGATGCAGGAGAGGGGGACAGGTGTGGGCGTGAGAAGGGGGACGGGAAGAAGGGAAGGCGGGAGAGACGGAGCAAATGAGGGAACAGGGTTCCAGAGGAGTGAATGAAGGTGTATGAGCAAGCCCGTGAAGGTATGCACTGTAGCACTGTCCTCCCGTTGTTCATCGATTTGCTTGAGCGGGCACCAGTAACGTCTCCATTGTGAGACTTGTTACTGTTTTTGGCATATAGAATACGCCACAGGGAGCTTGCCACTGTGGGATGCTCTCGGTAGCTTGCCGGGCTCTCCGAGAGGGATGGAGGAATCGAACCCAGGTCGGCCGCATGCAAGGCAAAAGCCCTATCCACTGTACTACCGCTCCAGCCCATGAAGGCATGGAGGAGGAGGGAAGTCGCCAATGGCCAACACCAAAAAGGACGAGTTAACCGATCAGTGAATGAACCAGTGAGAGTGTGGATGTGCCACTGAAGGAATCCATGAGAGTCCGCCAGTCTGGGAAGGCAATGGCCGGAGTGATAGCACCGAGGGGAGGGAGTTGGCCTGGCACGTGGCCAACCCAGGTTCAATCCCCGGCATCCCATAGGGTCCCCCGAGCACCACCAGGAGTGATGCCTGAGTGCAGAGCCAGAACCAGGAGTAACCCTGGAGCATAGCCAGGTGTGGGCGCCCCCTTCACCCCCCCCAAAAAAAAGTCTGAGAATGCAAGTCTGAGTAGGTGAATGAGTGAAAAAGTGGATGAGTTGCTGAAAAAGCCAGCAGTCAATGACTAATAATGTGTATAGAAAAGTGGAAAAGAAAGGAATATTTAGGAGTTCCCGGTTGAATGCATGCACGAGAAAAAATGCGTGAGGAAAGGAGTGAATGAATGAAAGCGAAAGAGTGTGTGAAATGAATCAATGGCAGGTCAGTGGGCCAATGAATCAATCGACGAGCATGAAAATGCACAAAAAAAAGGAGTACAGGAATGTGTGTAGCTGAACAAGTAATTATGTGAGTGCAGGCATGCGAAAATCAATGAGCAAGGGAATGGAGAAATGACAGTGAATACATGTGTGCAAATGAATACAAACAAATGAATACACGAACGTGTAAATAAAAGAATAAACAGAAGCACAGTCCAGCGGGGGAGGGCCTTTGCTTTGCACGCAGCTGACCCAGGTTCGATCTCCAGCATCCCATAGGGTCCCTCGAGCACCACCAGGAGCGATTCCTGAGTCACAGAGTAACCCCGAAGTCTCGCTGGGAGTGACCCAAAAAAGCTCCTTTCCGCACCCCCCCAAAAAAAACCAGTAACTAGGAGAAAACGCGTGAGAGAATGAACGAGCAAATGAGTGAATTGAATGAGTGTGTGTAGGCACGTGAATGAAATCAATGCACATGTGCAAATATGGAAATGGGACGCGTGTGCAGGCAAATGAATGAGTGAATTGGCCCACTCGGGAATGAGTGAGTGCCTGAGTGAGCAGATGAAGGTGTGCATGCAGGAGGCGATGTTGTGTGCTTGAAGGCAAGAGCACTGTGTCGGAAGTGAAGGGAGACAAGGGACGAGCGGGCAGGGAGCGAGGCCAGGACCCAGCCTCGGTGGGGGTCTGCCCTGCCCGCCCCCACCCCATGTCCCCAACTCCTGATCGCTCACCCACGCAGTTGAAGCCCGTCACGTCCAGGTGGGAGCCGGGGGGACATTCGCAGCGGAAGGAGCCATCAGTGTTGATGCAGAGGCCGCCGCTGCAGAGGTCAGGCTTCTCCACACACTCGTTCACGTCTGGGAGCAGCAGGGCACGGGGGGTGGGGGTGTCACGCAGGGCACCCGTCACTCGTGGCTCCCAAGTCTCTTCCTCCTCTCCTTGCTACCGAATGTCACCTGCCCTCACGGCAGAGTCTGGCAAACTCCCCGTGGCCGTACCCAATATGCCAAACACCAGTAACAATGATGGGTCTCATTCTCCTAACCCTGAAAGAGTCTTGAATATGGCACTTTTTTAAAAAAAATTCTCAGGGCTAGGACAAAGGAGACGTTACTGGGGCCTGCTCGAGGCAATCGACGAATAACAGGATGGTCGTGATCGTGATCTCTCCTTGCCCGAGAGGCCGGCGCCCATCCTCGCCCGGGCACTGAGGAAGCCTTGAGGGTCCCAAAACTGGGCAGTGCCCAGATGGGAACCTTGGATGGGAGGAAAATGGGGGTCCGCGGAGAGGGGGGGTGCTCACCTTCTTGAGAGTCATCTGGGCCTGGGACCACCCCATGGCCAAAGGGGCAGAGCTCTTGAAAGGCAGCTGGACTCGGAGGCGAAAAGGGTGGGTGCTCAGTCTTAGGGATCAAGCCTAAGGTGGTCCCAGACCCCCACTCCCCCCAGAACGTGGTGAAGATTGGGGCAAGAACATGGGGGGGCTCTAAGGGCAGAGGGGGGCACTCACCACTGCCCTCCTGAGGACACAGCTCGCAGGGGTCGTTCCAGCCCTCGCCTGGCCTCTTGCTGCAGCAGCACCCAGCCTTGGTGGTGTTCAAAGCTCGGGGCGCCAAGCACTTGCCAGCCTCGAATCGGGCGAAGCAGAAACTCAACCTCGTGTCTATGAGGCGGTGCCCAGGAGAAAAAGGCCGGAAGGGGCGGGGCGTCAGCCGCTTTGGCTCCATTTCTGACCAATCGAATGCCCTGGGCCCTCCCAGCAGCCAATCAGACACGGGTGAAGCAAAAACTCCGCCCAGGAGAGAATGCCGGAAGGGGTGTGGCGCGAGCTGCCTTGGCTTTGTTTCTGACCAATCGGATGGCCTGGATCTTGCTAGCAGCCAATCAGAATACGCTTGGTCTCTGACCATGTTGATTGGCCGTTAGGAAGGGCATGTGACTCATCCTGGGCCAATGAGGTTTGACCCTCGGACTTTTGCTGCATCTATGAATAATATCTTCCCTCTCCCGTCCACACAATGCATCAGGGGTGTTCCCTGTGCCACAGCAAAGGGTCAAACTCAGCCAGAGAACCCTAGGGGTAGAATTCCCTTGGCAAGATTTATGTCCTTCCGTGATCTCATAAAAAAAAAAAAGAGAGAAAGAAAAAGAAAAATCCCCTTGCCCTTGCCATAGTGACAAGGAGGTTCATTTCAGAGAACTCCAGGACCCCAGACCTCAAACTCCAAATTATTTTCACAGAATCCCATCCTCAGCCGCCTCCTTACGGGCAGGTGGTGGGGGTTGACTCCCTACCAGCTCGCCAAAGATCAATATATATATATATATATATTTTGCTTTTTGGGTCACACCCAGTGATGCTCAGGGGTTACTCCTGGCTCATGCACTCAGGAATTGCTCCTGGCGGTGCTCGGGGGACCATATGGGATGCTGGGAATCGAACCTGTGTCGGCCATGTTGCTGCATGCAAGGCAAACGCCCTACCTGCGGTGCTATTGCTCCAGCCCCCAAAGATCAATATTGATTGATTTTCTTCACCCTCTGCCCTCCTGGACCAGATATGAGAAAGGGCTGGATCAGACTGGGTAAGGCTAGTCCAGATGGATGAAGCCTGCCCCCCACGCTGCTGGAAGTCAGCGCACATACAGCAACTGGGACCATGTGAAGGCAACCGGAGCCCAAGGGTGCAGACTGGCCCACAGAGGACCAGGCTAGCTCTCTGCAGAAGGAACTTGTCTGGTCAAGAAGTTGGTTGGTCCAAGGCAACTCCACCCCTCTTTTCCTGGGGGGGGGAGGTAGTGTAGCTTGTTCTTGCCCCATCTTCCAGCTCTTCCTTCAAGCCTCTTGTGCTCAGACTCACCCAAACAATGACGTCCGTTATCAGAGAGGACAAAGCCCGGTGGACAGAGACACTGGAAACTGCCCCGGCTGTTGGTGCAGGTTCCAAAGAGACAAGGACTGGGCTCTTCTGAGCACTCATCAATGTCTGTAGGGGCAGGAATACAAGTTGCATAGGGGTGCAAGCAAGAACCCCACAAGCTGGAGGACGATGGCCTGGGCCATCAGGAAGGGGAAGGGTAGGGGCCCCTGGGACCCCAGAGGCTGAATATGAGAGGGATCTTTTGTAGAAGGTGATCTGCAGAGTAGGGGGCCCGGTCAAGCCACGTTTATCCTTGGAGATTAAATGTGAATAACATTCTCTGAGACTGGACTTAACCTACAATCCCCCAGAGGGAACAGCACAGAGATCATACCAGGCTGGTGCAGGTTAGACACAGACTAAGGCTATTTGCCCCCCCCCCCCCAAAAAAAAAACTGTACCAACTGTACCAAAAGGAGTTTTCTGGAGTGATAAGACAGCAGGGAGGGCACCTGTCTTGCATGCAGTCGACCTGGGTTTGATTCCCAGCATCTCATAAGGTCACCCAAGCTCCACCAGCAGTAATCCTTGAGTCAGGAATAACCCCTGAGCACTGCGGGGTCAAACTCCCAAAGCAAAATAAATAGGTCACTCCATAAACAATAGTGTCTGACGGCTGGAAAAAGTAATACAGGAATTAAAGCACCAATCACAAACTTGATTCAAATCTCTGGCACCACATTGGGTTCCCCAAGACTTCCAGGGGTGGAACAGACAGCTAGGACTAACCCCTGAGCTTCCCTGGGCGTGCACCCCCAGCTCCAAAGGCAAAACTGAAAAAAAAAATCCGCAATAGTGCCTGGAGCTTCCATGGGCTCTGTGTAAATACATCTCGACCTTCCTATGGGACCTGCCAACATCCCCATTTTACAGATGGGGGAAGAGCACCTTGGTGGCTCTTGAGCTGAGAGGGGGAGCCTCACCGAGGCAGCGGTCACTCTGCTCCCGGAAGCCAGATGGGCAGATACAGTGGAAGGAGCCTTGGACATTCTGGCAGGTCCCTGGCCAGCAGATCCCCACCAGGTGGAGACATTCGTTGATGTCTAAGGAGAAGAGAAGGAGGGCCCCATGTGATGGCTGAGGGGGGCAGAATCTTGGGTCCAGCAACAGGGCAGAGATTCAGGGACGTCCAGAGAAGGACATCATCTGGGATGCTGATCAGACTATAGGAGGTGTCCAGGGTTATCAGAAGGGAATAGCAGTCAATAATTTCCACTTGCTTGCAGACCCCTTTTTTGTGGGGTGTCTATATCCGGCAGTACTCAGGGCACGCTCCTGGCTCTGTGCTCAGGTGTCACTCCTGACGGGCTCAGGGTACCCTATGGGGTGCTAGGGATCGAACACAGGTCAGCCACATGCAAGGAAAGTCCCCTCTCTGCCGCACTATGGCTATAGCCCCTTGCCTAAATATTGTGAATGGTCCAGACTGGTGTCGGCACACTCCCAGGGAGAACTAAGCAGGAATTTGAACCCAAGAGGCATCTAACAGTATTAAAATCTGAAAAGAAAGAAATCCAAAGCCAACATTCCCCATCCGCTACCCAAGGAAGTAAAAAAAAAAACAAAACAGAGAAGTAGAATAGATGATACAAAACCTATGAAATAACGAGGTCAAAGCTACAGCACAGGGCTGGAGAGACAGCACAGCGGGTAGGGCGTTTGCCTTGCACGCGGCCGACCCAGGTTCGATTCCCAGCATCCCATATGGTCCCCTGAGCACCGCCAGGAGTAACTCCTGAGTGCAGAGCCAGGAGTAACCCCTGTGCATCGCCAGGTGTGACCCAAAAAGCAAAAAAAAAAAAGGTACAGCACAGCAGGGAGGTCCCTCAGCACTAAAGTTCAATTACCGGAACCCCAGAGTGTCCCTCGAGCACCGCCAGGAGTCATCCCTGAGCGCAGAGCCAGGCGTCAGCCCTGAGCACAGAGCCAGGAGTCAGTCCTGGGCACTACCGGATGCGGTCCCCAAACCCAAACCAACCGAAATATATCTGAAATAAGAGTCCAGTGCTCTTCGACCAAACATGACTTAGGACAACACAACCCCTGCTCCAAAGAGAAGACTATGCAGACCATCCCTGATTCGAGAGAAATGCTAGCAAAATAGCAGTGACCATCTGGTGTAACTGCATTCGGGGAGGGAGTTAGACACTGATCACAAATGATGTCTAAGATTTCTCATCCATGGAGAAATATGATTCATTTCAGAAGAACCAAGTAGAGGCTGGAGAGAGAATACAGCGGGCAGGACACTTGCCTTGCAAGTAGTCAACCTGGGTTCGGTCCCTGGCACTGAATATGGTGCCCTAAACCCCACCAGGAATGATCCCTGAGCACAGAGTCATGAGTTAGCCCGGAGCACTGCCGGACACGCACACCCCCCCACCCCAACAAAGACTTAAAACAGAGATCAGGGAAAAAGGGAAAAGATGGGAGTTCAGGCGTTGCATGGGGGAGGTCTGGGTTCAATCCCCAGCATCGCATGGTCCTTAAGCACTGAACTGGGAGTAGCTTCTGAGCATCATCCCAGGGGGATGGCCCAAGGACAAAAACAAAACATGCACAGTGACAGAAAAAGCTAGGATAGGGAATGAAGCAGGGCTCGGGGGTGGGAAAGAGCTAATTCTGACCTCCCATCTATGGGGAAAACAGGATCTCTGAGTTAGATTCTTGCAGTATGCAAAGGAGAATAGTAAGAATGGCAAAGAGACACGGAGTGAGAGGTTGGAGCCATAGCACAGCGGGGAAGACGTTTGCCCTGCACGCAGCTGACCCGGGTTCGATCCCCGGCACCCCATAGGGTCCCCCGAGCTCCTGCGTGGAGTGATCCCTGAGCGCAGAGCCAGGAGTCAGCCCTGAGCACTGCTCACCCCCGAAAAGAAGAGAAACGAGAGGAGCTGGAGTAATAGCACAGCGGGTAGGGCGTTTGCCTTGCACGCGGCCAACCCAGGTTCGAATCCCAGCATCCCATAGGATCCCCTGAGCACCGCCAGGAGTAATTCCTGAGTGCAGGGCCAGGAGGAACCCCTGAGCATCGCCGGGTGTGACCCAAAAAGAAAAAAAAAGAAGAGAAATGAGAAGTAAAGCAAGGAAACGTGGGGTGCCTTCTGTGTCCCGTTCTTAGCCCAGAACCTCTGCCACAGAGGACGGTGATGCTAGAGTCTGACCAGGCTGGGAGTTGAGGGACGGCAGCACAGAGCAGGGGACTGGAGGGAAACTGGTTCCTGGGTGCATTTCAGGCCCAGAAAACAGAGGAGGAGAAGAGGGGAGGGAGGGCCCGTGCTCACCCGCACAAACACGCGTGTCCTCCGAAAGGTGGTAGCCGGGCGGGCACTTGCACCGGAAGCTGCCAAAGGTGTTGGCACAGTCACCTCCTCGGCACAGCTCCGGCAGCTCCTGGCACTCGTCAATGTCTGCCAGGAAGTGGAGGCATTAGGAAAAGTCAAAGCAAACAGAAGACTCAGGGGTCCCCCACACCCACCCTGGGCTCTTGTTGGGGGGGGTCTGGAAAAGCCAGTTTTTCTTTTTATTGTTTTTTTTTGAGTCACCCCCCCCAGGCTCCCTCCTGGCTCTGCACTCAGGGATCACTCCTGGTGGGCTTGGGCACTCTATGGGGGTGCCAGACCCGGGTCAGTCGCATGCAGGGCAAACGCCCTCCCCACTGTCCTCTCTCTTCAGCCCCAAGTCCTGCCTGGGTAAGAATAATCAAACACTGGGCTGGAGCGATAGCACAGCGGGTAGGGCGTTTGCCTTGCACGCGGCCGACCCGGGTTCGATTCCCAGCATCCCATAGGGTCCCCCGAGCACCGCCAGGAGTAATTCCTGGGTGCAGAACCAGGAGTAACCCCTGAGCATCACCGGATGTGACTGTCCCCCCCAAAATAGAGTAATCAAGCACTAGGGGCTGGCACAATAGGACAGTGGGGAGGGTGGTGGCCTGGCATGCAGGTGATCCAGGGTTGATCTCCAGTACCTCACATGACTCCTCCCCAACTCTGAGCACTGCCAGGAGTGATCCCTGAGTGCAGAGGCAGGAGTCAGCCCTGAGTACCACCAGGTTGGCTCCAAAACCAAAAAAAAAAAATAATAATAATAGTTATCATCATCATCAAGCACTGAATATTCTGTGGGTTCGTCCAGGATCTCTCAGAAGCTCTAGCCGGACTCTCCTGGGTCAATGTTACACTCTCCCTTCATCCTTAAACTACAAATCCATCTCCCATCCCTCCATCCATCACAGAGACCCTCAGGGTGAAATCCTTCCCTACTCTCATTGCCCCCAAGAATCGGAGGATGCTATGGATGGATCAATGAATCCAGGGGTCAGGCCAGAACGATAGGCCAGTGGGGAGGGCATTTGCCTGGCATGCAGCTGACCCAGGTTGCATCCCCGGCATCCCACAGGGACCCCCGAGCACCGTTAGGAGTCATTCCTGAGTGCAGAGCCAGGAGGAAGCCCTGAGTATTGCCAGGTGTGGCCCCCAAACAAAAGCCAAAAAAAGAAAGAACTCCCACAGCTCCTTCTTGGAAATCTTTCTTTAAGAGAAGCGATGTCGCCTTCTCCAGATGGAACCCTGGTGACCATGAGCTTCTGCAAGCATGGCTCTGGCATGCGGGTACCAGGACATTTTTTCCGAACTGCAATGGGGCCGCCCGGCTCCCAGGCAACTTCTGATTCCAGAAGTCATGCCCACAACGCGCCCGCCAGCGCCATCTTACAGCACACAGCAACAAAGAAGAAAACCGGCTGGAGGGCCCCACAGCTCCCAGAGAATGCTCCAGGTCCCAAACAGAGCCGATATCACCGGGAGGTCCCAGATGGGGTAGGTGCTGCTGTCCCGCCTTCTCCAGATGGAACCCCAGTGACCATGAGCTTCTACAAGCATGGCTCTGGCATGTGGGTACCAGGACATTTTTTCCAGACCGCGCGGCCACATAAGCGGCCACGCAACATTTCCTTACATGCAAAGTGATCGATGGAAAGTAAATCATCCAACATTTCTCCCTGAAAATCAGGCTTGACTCTTTTGCGAACCACAACACCCAAAAGGAGAGAGAGAACAGAGGGGAATGCCCTGTCACAGAGGCAGGGTGGGATGGGGGGGGAATGGGGGGTGGGAGGGATACTGGGATCCGTGGTGGTGGGAAATGGGCACTGGTGGAGGGATGGGTACTTGGTCATTGTATAATTGAAACCCAAGCACAAAATGTGTAAGTCTACAACTGTACCTCATGGTGTCTCACTAATAAAAATTAAAAAAAAAGAGAGAGAGAGAAGTGATAGTACAAAGAGGAAGGTGTCTGCCTTGCATGCAGCTGACTTGGGTTCGATTTTCGGCATCCCATAAGGTCTCCCAGACCTCCAGGAGTAATTCCTGAGTGCAGATCCAGGAGGAAGCCCTGAGCATCGCCAGGTGTGACCCCCCCCAATAAAAAAGCCAAAATAATAATAAAAAGAGAGAAGAGATAGAAAGCCCCACCCCTGGAACCCAAGGGCACCCCCAACCCTCCTGGATTGTCCCAGGGGCTCCCTGGGGTCGCTGTGGCCTGTTTTGGGGGAACACTGAGCTAGATTAACAAAGTAGTAGGTGAAAAAAAAGAGAGAGACAAAAATAAAGGCGGGTGAAAAAAAGAGAGAGACAAAAATAAAGGCGGGGAGTGGTGTGGAAAACTTCATCATAAGCCAGAGGCACACTTGGGATCTGACACTCGGCTTCCAGGTGTGTGTGTGTGTGTGTGTGTGTGTGTGTGTAACTCAGAGACAGGGAACCGATCAGGGGCTCCGTGGGGGACTCACCTTCCAGAATGAACGTGACAGGGTGGGGCCGGAAGCCCATTCCGCCGGGACACAGGGTCCGGTGCTCAGCTGCAAGAGAGGCAGGTACCGTGAGGGGCTCAGGGCTCAGGGGTCCTCAAGAAGAGGGTCCTGTCTCCCTCTCCCACCACTATATCCTTGCACCCTTGCCTTCATAGGGCCAGGAGAGGCGGACCACTCCTGGGGTTTGCACCCACTGTTCCCCTTTGTCATTCATCATTCCCCTTAACGCAACCTGGAAAACTCCTATTCATCCTTCAAAACCCCACCCAGACACACACACACACACACACACACACACACACCTCACTAAGGAAGTGGGCAGGAGTCTTTCTCAAACCTCTTGTTCTTGTTTTTGTGCTACACTCAGCAGTGTTCACGGAATACTCCTGACTCTGAACTCAGGAATTACTCCTGGTGGTGCTCAGGAGACCCGACGGGGTGCCGGAGGTCAAACCCAGGTCAGCTGTGTGCAAGGCAAACGCCTTCCCGCCTGTCCTATTGCTCCGGCCCCCACCTGTCTCAAGCCTTTGTCCCCGCTGTTCCCTCATGACAGACATCCCTTCCCTTGCTTTGCCTGGAAAACTCCTATTCATCCTTCAAAACACCATTCAAATGTTTCACTCTGGGAACCTTTTCCTCCCCATGGCTTTCTCCTGAGCCGGCCCCCTGCCTCTTAGACCCGTGGACAGCGAGCTTACTCCCCCAGTCCCGGGAGCACTGACTCCTCGGTCCCAGCTCCAGCTGGCCTGACCCAGGCTCAGTGCCCTCCCCACCCCGCACCCCAACGCCCAGACTCACTGGTGTTGGCCATCGGGCACGGCTCACAGGGGCTGCCCCAGGCCCCGCCCAGGGAGCAGCAGCAGGTCCCCCGGGGGACAGCGGCCCCGAGCTCAGCGCCGCAGGACCAGTCCCCGTCCCCTCGGGGCTGCAGGTCCAGGAAACAGGTTCCCAGCCGGGCATCTGCACGGGCAGAAATGGACAATGGTCAGCAGGCGGCGGGTCGGCACGGGTGCGAGTGTGGGTGTGAACATGTGAGTGTGTGTGTGATTGGCTGCGTGTGTGTATGGGGGTGAGTGAGTTTGAGTGTGTGTATGTGAGTGTATGGGTGTTTGTGAGTGTGTGTATGAGTGTGTGTGGGTGTGAGGGTGAGTGTGTGGGTGTTTGAGTGTGTGAGCGTGTGTATGAGTGTGTGTGAGTGTGAGGGTGTGTGTATGTGAGTGTGTGGGTGTGTGAGTGTGTGTATGTGAGGGTGAGTGTGTGTATGTGAGTGTGTGGGTGTTTGTGTGTGTGAGTGTGCGAGTGTGTATGAGTTTGTATAGGTGTGAGGGTGTGTGTATATGTGAGCGTGTGGGTGTTTGTGAGTATGTGAGTGTGTAAGAGTTTGTATGGGTGTGAGGGTGTGTGTGTATGTGAGTGTGTATGAGTGTGTGAGGGTGTGTGTATGTGAGTGTGTGGGTGTGTGAGTGTGTATGTGAGTGTGAGTGTGTGTGAGTGTGTGGGTGTTTGTGAGTGTGTGAGTGTGAGGGTGAGTGTGTGTATGAGTATGTGAATGTGTGGGTCTTTGTGAGTGTGGTTTGAGTGTGAGGGTGAGTGTGTGTGAGTGTGTGGGTGTTTGTGAGTGTGTATGAATGTGTGTGGGTGTGAGTGTGTGTGTATGTGAGGGTGAGTGTGTGAGTGAGTGTGTGGGTGTTTGTGAATATGTGAGTATGTAAGAGTTTGTATGGGTGTGAGGGTGTGTGTGTATGTGAGTGTGTGGGTGTTTGTGAGTGTGTGTGAGTGTGAGAGTGAGTGTGTGTATGAGTATCTGAATGTGTGGGTCTGTGTGAGCATGGTTTGAGTGTGAGTGTGAGTGTGTGTGAGTATGTGGGTGTGTGAGTGTGTGTGTATGTGAGTGTGTATGTGAGTGTGTGGGTGTTTGTGAGTGTGAGTGTGTGTATGTGAGGGTGAGTGTGTGTATGTGAGTGTGTGGGTGTTTGTGAGTGTGTGTGGGTGTGAGGGTGAGTGTGTATGAGTATGTGAATGTGTGGGTCTTTGTGAGTGTGGTTTGAGTGTGTGGGGGTGGGCGTGTGTATGTGAGTGTGTAAACGGGTGTGTGCACGTGCGTGTGTGCACACATGCCTCGGGGAGTGACTGACCGTGCATCTCTGTGTGTAGGGGACAGCTGTGTGGGCCGCATGCACGCGTGCACTGCCTGGAAAACTATGCAACTCCCCACTCAGCGTCTGTGTGGGACCGTGAGGGCGCGTGTGTTCGAGTGTCTGCATGTGTGGACATGCCTGCATACGAGTGTCAGGGTGTGTCCGTGAGCATGCCTGTGTCTGTGTGTCTCTTTTTGTGCTTGTGGGTTCCTGGGCATGTGTGTATGTTTGCAAGCGTCTGCAACACGTGTGCATACACATACGTGTGATGTGTTCAGAGATGTGCACGGACTGCACATGTCAGTGTGCGTGTGTGATGTGTGTCCATGCATGGGCATTTGTATGTTCGTGGGTGCACACGCGTGTTCACAGATATGTGTCCACAGACGTGTGTACAAGTGTTCGTGCCACGTGCATACGTATATTCATGGGCATGTGTGCATGTGTGTCCACAGACATGTGTGTTCATGAACATGTGTACGCATGTCGATGGACATGTGGGCGCACACTCGTCCACCTCTGTGGGGTGCAGAACCCCAGGTCAGCCCCACGCCCACCCACTGCCGCCTCTGCTCTCCACCGCCCACCCGAGGGTGAAGCCCCGTCTCACCCCGACAGGCCCGCTGGTCCTCCGTGCGCTCAAACCCCGGATCACACTCGCAGCGGAAGCCACCGGGCACGTTAAGGCACCGCCCGTGGGTGCAGATGTCCGCGTTCTCGGCACATTCATCCCTGTCTGAGGGTCCCCGGGGGGCAGAGGGCTGGGGCCAGAGGGTCAGGACCACGGGGGGGCAGGTGGAACCCCCAGAACGTCCCAGACACCCAGGGTCACAGGCAAGAAGTGCTAAGAACCCAGACACCGGGTCAGGGGTGAGAGCACTGTGGGGAGTGCACTGGTCTTGCACAGGGCCGACCCAGGTTCAATCCATGGCACCCCATAGGGTCCTTTGAGCACTGCTGGGTGTGGCCCCAAAATCCTCCCAAGGGGGGCTGGAGACACAGTACAGGGGCGGGGAGACTGCTTTGCACGTGTCTGATTCAAGTTCAATTGCTGGCAGGCACTCAACAGGGCACCCAAAGGTTCTGTTAGGAGTCAACCCTGAGCACAGAGCCGGGAGTCATCCCTGAGCGCAGAGCCAGGAGTCATCCCTGAGCACAGAGCCGGGAGTCAGCACTGAGCGCAGAGCCAGGAGTCAACCCTGAGCACAGAGCCAGGAATCAACCCTGAGCACAGAGCCGGGAGTCAGCACTGAACGCAGAGCCGGGAGTCAACCCTGAGCACAGAGCCAGGAGTCAACCCTGAGCACAGAGCCAGGAGTCAACCCTGAACACAGAGCTGGGAGTCATCCCTGAGCGCAGAGCCGGGAGTCAACCCTGAGCACAGAGCCAGGAGTCAACCCTGAGCACAGAGCCAGGAGTCAACCCTGAACACAGAGCTGGGAGTCATCCCTGAGCACAGAGCCAGGAGTCAACCCTGAGCACCGAGCCAGGAGTCGGCGCTGAGCACAGCTGGGTGTATCTCCAAAACCCCCCAAAACCCAAAAACTAAATCACACGGTTCCAAGCGGAGGGGCGGAGGCGTGTCTGAGGAATGGCGGGGGATGGGGCAGGGGGGCCGGGCAGCTCAGCCCACGGACAGGCAGAAGGGGATCGGCAGAGGGTCACCTTGAACCTGGAAGGCCACAGACGCCACCACAGGCACCCCCTGGCCCCCAGCTCCGCGCCACCTCCCCAACGGGGCGCACCTTGGCAGGAGAGGCCGTTCCCCAGGAAGCCAGGCCGGCAGGCGCAGCGGTAAGATCCAGGGGTGTTGAAGCATCGAGCATGCGGACTGCACCGGGGCACGGGGTCAGCACACTCGTCCAGATCTGTGGGGGGCGCAGAGCCAGAACCGTGGGGGCGGCCGAGCCCCCGACATCACCCCGAACCAGCCCCCATGGGGACAGGGACCCACCCCCACCCCCCGCCGCAGCCGCCCGTGTCCAGCACTCACCGTGGCACTTGTGACCATCTCCCCTCCAGCCTGGCGGGCAGCGGCAGCGGAAGCTCCCGGGGACATTGAGGCAGGATGCATGGGGGCCACAGCGGGGTCCTCCACGCTCACATTCATCCACGTCTGGAAGGTGGGGACTCAGTGACCACAGTGGCGGGGCCCAGAGAGAGGTGACGAGGCAGCAACCGCCCGCCCCCAACCCATCAAGGCAACAGAAATTGGGTTTCTGGGGTAGCGTGGGGGCAACTTGGAAGGAGTGAGGATCCCCAGAGGGCCCAGAAACGAGCATTTGCCTCTCTCAGGGCCCAAGAGGAGATGCCCTCCCTACCCCCCAAACCCCACAGACACGAAACCCAGCAGCACACCGGAACGGACTGAAATAACAGGAGCGGTGTTCCAAGCAACTATGCCGGGGGCCAAAAAGATGGTTCAGTGGTTAGGGCCACTTGCCTTCCATGCATAGGGACCTGAATTCTCTCCCTGGCCTGGCATGACCCCCTGCCTGTAAGCACTGCTGGGTGTGACCTTGGGGGCACTGGAGCACCGCCAAGCCCTCGAGCAACACGTCAATGGGTGAAGCATTGAAACCATGGCCCTGTTGGCTAATAGGTACGGGGGGAGTCCCCGCCCTCCTGAGCATGGCTTGGGAAGACCCCCACAGTGGGAAAAAAAAAGTGGGGCCAGAGCAAGAGTTGCAGCGGGGAGTTTGCCTTGTACGTGGCTGACCAGGTTTGCTCTCCAGCATCCCAGAGGGTCCTCCAGGCACTGCCAGGAAGGATTCTTGAGCACAGAGTCAGGAGTAACCTCTGAGCACCGCTGAATGTGGCCCCAAACCAAACCAAACTAGGTAAAGAGGGAGTGGAAGGCCCCGAAAGCGGCTGAGAGGGCGCAGTGCAGGCGGGAGCCCCAGGTTTCAGCCCCCGAATTATGGGGCGCCTGAGCACTGGTTGGTGTGACCCACCCAACTATTAAGTAGAAGTAAGTCAACGCTGGGGCCAGAGGTGTAGGATGGCAGGAAGAGCGTTTGCCTTGCATGTGGCTGACGCAGGTTCGATCCTCGGCCCCTTATAAAAGTCCCCCCAGGCTCTGCGACAGAGATCTCTGAGTGCAGAGCCAGGAGGCAGCTCTGAGCACTGCCGAGGGGCACCAAAAAAGGGATAGAGAGAGAGAGAAAAAAATAGAGGAAGAAAGCAAGAGAGAGAGGAAGGAAGGAAGGAAGGAAGGAAGGAAGGAAGGAAGGAAGGAAGAAGAGAAAGACAGAAAGTCTCTCTGAAGGGGCTGGAGCGATAGCACAGCGGGGAGGGCGTTTTTGCCTTGCACGCGGCCGACCCGGGTTCGATTCCCAGCATCCCATAGGGTCCCCTGAGCACCGCCAGGACTAACTCCTGAGCGCAGAGCCGGGAGTAACCCCTGTGCATCGCCGGGTGTGACCCAAAAAGCAAAAAAAAAACCAAAAACTCTCTGAAGCATCATTAAATGGGCCAAGCAATAGCCCAGCAGGGAGGATGTTAGCTTTGTACATGTCTGGCTCGATTTCGATCCCTGGCACCAGAGAGGGGGCCCCCCCAAAGCGCTGCCAGGAGTGATTCCTAAGTTCGGACCCAGGAGTCAGCCCTGAGCACTGCCAGGTGTGAGACCCACCAAAAAAGAAGAAAGAGAAGGAGACAAAGAAGAAGGAAAAAAAAAGAAAAATCACCAAGCTTGCATACTGCTGCGAGTAACCGGGGGTCTCCATGGATCCCCAACAAGTATGTGCTTGTCGCGAACCCCAAGATGGGACAGAGACCCAGAAACACCCCCCCCAGCTCTCCGTGCCGGGGACCCTCAAGCACACCGCTGCAGCCCACAGCAGACCCGTGCCTGACGCTGTAACCCAGCGGGCAGTGGCAGACAAAGGACCCCTTTGTGTTCGCATGGGCCCCCTGGAGGCAATTATGGGGGTTCAGCTCACAATGTGGGGCTCCCCTCAGCTTCCCCCCACCCAACCTCAAGCTGGCAGCTGAGGGCTGTGAATTCAGCCTTGGCTGGCTCCAGACGGGCCTCACCAGGCCTGCACCCCGCCCCCCCGAAATAGGGCATTCCTGAGGGTGAGGGGCTGGCAGAAGTCCGTCATGCCAACGTCTTGTTTGCTTCTGGGGTAATTTAAACCAGAAGGTTCGGGAGATCCTGCCGCCTTTGTTTATTTGGATTTGGGGCCACCCCTGACGGTGCTCAGAGCCAATTCCCGGCTCTTGGCCGGCTCCGTGCTCTGGGATCAATCATGGAGGCCCCTATGAGGTGCCGAGGTCGGTCTGAATTGGGATCGACCACGTGCAAGGAGTGCAAATCTAGAACTTTTTGTCTTTTTTTTTTTTTTTTGCTTTTTGGGTCACACCTGGTGATGCACAGGGGTTCTTCCTGGCTCTGCACTCAGGAATTACCCCTGGAGGTGCTCGGGGGACCCTATGGGATGCTGGGGATTGAACCCAGGTCGGCCGCGTGCAAGGCAAACGCCCTACCCGCTGTGCTATCACTCCAGCTCCTAGAACTTTTCTTTGGGGGAGCCGCAATGCCAACTTTTATTCGGGGCTCTGTGGCAACACCCCTTGCTCCATGGGCACTGCCCTGGGCTACACCCGTTGTAAGCCCCGATTTGGGGCCAAGGTAAGACAGGGCTGAAGGCATTTGTCTTGCAAGCTGCCCAATTAGCTTATTTCTTTTTGTCTGTTTTATTTTTGGGGGGAGGGGTGGTGGAAGCTCTGGGATTCCTTCTGGCTCTGCATTCAGGAACTACTCCTAGTAATTGTTGGGGGACCCTATGGGGTGCTGGGGATCGAACCCAGGTCGGCCCCGTGCAAGGAAAGTGCCCTCCCCTCTACTATCTCTCTCGTCCCTGTCAATACATTTTAATTCCCCGGCATCACATAAGGTCCCCCTGAGCCCCACCAGGAGTGACCCCTGAGCACAGAGTCAGGAGTCAGCTCTGAGCACTGCTGGGTGTCCGCCAAAGTCGCCCCCCAAAAATCCAAGAAAGGAAGTAAGAAAATGGCACGTTCAGCTGCTGTGGGCTGATTTCTTTTTTTCACTTTTGGGTGGGGCACAAAAGACACTCACCCCAGCCCCACCATCCTCCCCAGGGGTTCCCCTCATCCTCACCCACACAGGATCTGGCGTCTGGCATGGCCCTGAACCCCGCTGAGCACAGGCAGCGGTGGGCGCCCGGCGAGTTGGCACACTGACCCCCATTGCAGATCCCGGGGGTCTCCGCACACTCGTCCACGTCTAGCGGCGAGAGACAGCAGCGAGGGGGCCGGGCTGCAGGCGGGGAGGGGGCTCCCTTCTCCCGAGGCCACCCCCCAAGGCCCAGCTGGGGCTGGTGGAGGGCTGGAGCGCGGAGGGACCCAGGAGGAGGAGGGTGATGTGTGGGGGTGGGTGCATGAGGGCAGGGGTGCGGGGGACGGGGCTCTGAGGGGGCTTTGGGGGGCCTAGATCCATCTCACCCACGCAGCCCTGGCGGTCGCGGGTGCTCCGGAAGCCCGCGGGGCACGCGCAGTGAAAGGTGCCAACGACGTTGACACAGTGGCCCTGGGGACACAGGTCCGAGTTCTCGGCGCACTCGTCCAGGTCTGGAATAGGGGGGCACAAGGCTGCAGGGGTGAGGGTGCGGGGGGGGGAAGGGCGGGGCCCGCATCTGCCGCGTGGCCCGTCCCAACACGCGTGGGGTGGGGGAAGCCGCATGCACTAGGACGCACGCACCCACATGCGCGCGCGCGCGCACCCATCCACGGGCGCACGCACACATGCGCACAGCCATTCACGGCAGACCCGTTTCCAAGTGCACCCACCCATTCACGGGCGCACCCACCCATGCCCGCGTGCACCCATTCACGGGCGCCGCAACCAGCCACCTAATGCACTCACACACCCATTCACGGGTGCACCCTGGCACGCGCGTGGGCATACATACGCACGTGCACCCACCCCTTCTGTTCACACGTCCCTGCAGAGCGCGTCTGCACACGGACACCCCAAGACCTGGGTGCCTACCTCCGCTCTACGTGCTCAGATGCACGCGCCCTCGGGCGCTGCCAGGCCAAACGCAATCACGCGCCTCCCACCCCCATGTGCCCACCCGGACCTTTCCCTCTCCCACTCACCCTGACAGGCAGAGCGCCCCGGCGGCAGCGAGTGTCCTGGAGGGCACAGGCAGGAGAAACTCCCCGCCGTGTTCAGGCAAGAGCCGTCCCGGCACAGCTGGGGGTCTCGGGCACACTCATCCACATCTGGGTGTGTGCCGGGGGGGCGGAGGGAGGGGGTTGTTCAGGGCAGGAGAGAGAGTGAGGGAAAAAGAAAGAGGGAGAGAGAGAGAGAGAAAAGAGGAGGGAAGGAGAGACGGAGGAAGGGGGCTGAGGGAAAGTCCATGTCTCCAGCACCCCTTCCTCACATCCCCCCAAAGCCAGGAGATCCTGAGTCTCGGGGTCCCAATGACCCAAAGTGCTGAGTTCAGGTGAATCAGGGCCCCTCAAGGCCTGAGAAAGCCCCCCACCCTCCGCATGTCTAGGGACTGAGCAGGAAGGCCAGGTGCCAGGCCAACAGGTGGGGAGCAGATCTGTAGCCCCCCAACACTCCACGTTCAAGGCTTCCCCCGGACCTGGTTCATCCCAGGGCTTCGGCCTCTGTGCCCAGCAATCTCCTCTCACACCCCCTACCGCAGGACCTTTGCCGCTCTCCACCACGCCCCCTCCCCGACCTTGGTGGGGTTCACCCACCCACACAGCGGTTCTCCAGTGCCAAGCTGCTCTCGTAGCCGGGTGGACATTGGCACTCAAAGCTCCCGGGGATGTTGCGACAGGCGCCCGGGCTGCAGAGCTCAGGGGAGATGCGGCATTCATCAACGTCTGCGGAGAGAAGGGGGGTGCAGGGCCTGGCCTCCACGTCTAGAGACATATGGGGTGCCGGGGATCGAACTGGGGCAGCCTTATGCAAGGTGGTGCGCTCTCCGCTGCACTATTCCCGGAGGGGGGCGATGCTCAAGGCTGACTCTTGGCTCTGTGCTCAGGAATTCCTGCGAGCGGGTTTGGGGGGGACCCTCTGGGATGCCGGGGATGGAATCTGGGCTGGGTATGGGCAGGACAAAGGCCCTCCCTGCTGTACTACGAGGCTCACAGACAGACCCCAGAGGCAGGCTCCAACTCCCGCACCCGCGACCCTTAGGACCCCAGCACTGTGTGGAGCTGGGTGGGGGGCGTTGGTGAGCTTGTGTTAGGAACCAGCGGGTGTCATGCGGCTTCCTGGCGGTAGGGGGTGCTCGCGCGCTGCATCAGCGGAGGCCCTTGACACCTGCCCGCCAGGGGGCGCCCTCCCTGCCCCGCCCCACTGTGGACCACCCCATCCTCCCCCAACTCACCTGTGCACTGGCCCCGGATGCCCTGCGTGTAGCCCGCGTGGCACCCCCTGCCTATCTCTCCCTTCTCTCAGCACCTCTCTGAGGCTGGGACCCGCCGCCTCCGCCTCCAGCAGCCAGGATCACTCCTGGCAGTGCTCTGGGGACCCTACGGGGCACCGGGGATTGAACCCGGGTCAGCCGTGTGCCCTCCCTGCTGTCCCAGTGCTCTTGGCCCGGCAGGTTCTCATGCTTCAACTCCGGGATCTGTTTCTTTTCTTTTTTTCTTTTTGGGTCACACTCGGCGATGCCCAGGGGTTCCTCCTGGCTCTGCGCTCAGGAATTACCCCTGGCGGTGCTCAGGGGACCCTATGGGATGCTGGGATTCGAACCCGGGTCAGCCGCGTGCAAGGCAAACGCCCTACCCACTGTGCTATCGCTCCAGCCCCTGGGATCTGTTTCTAATTCTGAGCTGCTTAGTCTGGGTGAGACTCCCCTCATCCTCCCACCCTCCACACACACACACACCCCAACCCAGCTCTAAGCCCCTGCCCTGGGGGCCGGATGGTATAGTGGGCAGGGTGTGCCAACGTAGGTTTTGGTCCCTGCCACCCCACAGGGTCCCCAGGAGCCCCACCAGGAGTGATCCCTGAGCACAGAGCCAGGAGTCAGCCCACCAGGTGTGGCCCCAGAATAAAAAAATAATGATAATAGGGGGCAGAGTGATAGCACAGTGGAGAAGGCATTTGCCTTGCACGCGGCCGACCCGGGTTCGATTCCCAGCATCCCATAGGGTCCCCTGAGCACCGCCAGGAGTAACTCCTGAGTGCAGAGCCAGAAGTAACCCCTGTGTATTGCCGGGTGTGACCCAAAAAGCAAAAAAAGAAAAAAAACACTGGGGGCTGGAGTGACAGCACAGCGGGTAGGGCGTTTGCCTTGCACGCGGCCGACCTGGGTTCGATTCCCAGCATCCCATAGGGTCCCCTGAGCACCGCTAGGAGTAACTCCTGAGTGCAGAGCCAGGAGTAACCCCTGAGCATCGCTGGATGAGACCCAAAAAGCCAAAAAAAAATGATAATAAAACCCCTGTGCTGAGTTCAGATCCCTATCACAGGTCAGATTCACGGAGCTGGTACCCCGGTGTTAGAACCCCCTACTTAGAGCCCAGATCCTGGGCATCCCCAACATCCGTACCCCCCGGGCCCCCAAGAATGAGCTCAAGACTTTCACCCCCGGCGAAAATCCTTGGGGACTCTCCTCTCAAACCCCCGTCTCACCTACGTGCGTCCCATCCAGGCCCAGGCTAGGAACCGCTCGCTCGGCGCCTGGCAATTCCTGCGGTGGAGACCTGAGGCCAGGACCCGCAGCACCGGGTGCGAAGCCAGGGAGGGGCCCCTGGGCACACAGTCTCAGGGACTCGGCTGGGAGAGGGAGGAAGCAGGGTTCGAGGCTGAGCCCCAACGGCAGGGCGGGCAGGGTTAGAGGGTGGGAGGGGAGGCAGCCCAGGCCACTCACCAGAACCTGCGGCAGGACACAACTCAGGGCGGGATTCGGCCGCCCAGCACCTGCCCCGCTCACAGCAGCAGCCCCCGCGGCTGTAGTGCTCGGTGGTGGCTCCCATGCACTGACCCCTGACCAGCGCCAAGTAGCAGGGGCCCGAACGGTGGTCTGCATGGAGGTGGTGTGGTGGTGGGAGGGAGGGAGGGGTGAGGAGGGCCAGTTCCAGACTCGGGTTCTCATCCCAGGTCCTCCTACCCTTCTGGCAAGCCAGGTCCCCTGGCTGCCCCGCGCCTCAGTTTCCCCAGGAACAAAATGCGGGAGGGGGGGTGGTTGTTCAGAGCACTTCCAGATATGCTCTGAATGTGTTGAACCAGCTCACAGCGTCCTGGCCTGGCTTTCCATTTCCTTCTCTCAAACACAGGGTGTTGGTGGTGTGTGTGTGTGTGTGTGTGTGTGTGTGTTTGTGTGTGATCTTAAAAAAATCTTTGAGGGGGGGCTGGAGCGATAGCACAGCGGGTAGGGCGTTTGCCTTGCACGTGGCTGACCTGGGTTCGATTCCCAGCATCCCATAGGGTCCCCTGAGCACCACCAGGGGTAATTCCTGAGTGCAGAGACAGGAGTAACCCCTGTGCATTGCCGGGTGTGACCCAAAATTAAAAAAAAATTTAAAAAAATTTAAAATCTTTGGGGGACCCCAGGGACGTGACTCAGTGGCAAAGTGCCTGACTTGTATGTGTTTGGTCTGAGTTCCATCCCCAGCACCGAAGAATATGAGCCTTTGGGGCAGGTGTGTGTGTGTGTGTGTGTGTGTGTGTGTGTGTGTGTGTAGAGATGATTTTAAGACACTTGTCTAGAGTGCGGTCAGCCCCAGCGTCAATCCAGGGCACTGCATATGCCCCTGGGAGCACCGCCAAGGGTCACTCTTGAGCACAGCACCAGGGATGGCCCCTGCGAACCACTGGGTGTGACCCTAACCTCACCCCACCCAAAAAAATCTTTGGGGGACCTGAGATGGTAGAGTGGCCAGAAGTACCTTCTTTGAACACATGGGACCCCCTCGTCCCATTTCCAGTGCTGCACACTCTGTCATGCGAGACCCTCATGTACCCGCACCCCAAGCCGGACACCCCAGTGCCCAGGTGGGCGAGCCCATCCCTCCCCCTCCCTCACCCCTTCCATCCAGAATGTACATCGGGGAGCTCCATGGAAGGAGTGTGAGGCAATGATGTGTGTGCGCACTGCAACCACAACCCAGGGGCAACTGAACCTGGGGGAAGGGAAAGAAGGATCTAGAGAGGTCCAGAGTGGACCAGGAGGACATCGAGTTCAGGCAAGGGGACTAGAGTGCCCACCCTTCCAAAGGGGAATCGAGGCGGAGTGCTAGAGCGGCGCCAGGGAGCACAAAAGCTTATGGGTAGAAGGCGAAAGCCCGAGAGCCGGGCCAGAGCCATAGGACAGCGGGGAGGGGTGGGTGTTTGCCTTGCATGCGGTGGACACGGGTTCGATCCCAGGCACCCCACGTGGTCCCCTGAGTCAGAGATCACTAGGAGTGATCCGTGAGCGCAGAGCTAAGCCGGGGTTTGGACCCTAAAACAAAAAAAAACCCCAAAAGAAAGAAAGAGGGGGCTGGAGTGATAGCACAGCGGGTAGGGCGTTTGCCTTGCAAGCAGCCGACCCGGGTTCGATTCCCAGCATCCCATATGGTCCCCTGAGCACCGCCAGGAGTAACTCCTGAGTGCAAAGCCAGGAGTAACCGCTGTGCATTGCCGGGTGTGACCCAAAAAGCAAAAAAAAAGGGGGGGCTGGAGCAATAGCACAGCGGGTAGGGGGTTTGCCTTGCACGCGGCCGACCCGGGTTCGATTCCCAGCATCCCATAGGGTCCCCTGAGCACTGCCAGGAGTATTTCCTGAGTGCAAAGCCAGGAGTAACCCCTGAGCATCGCCAGGTGTGACCCAAAAACCAAAAAAAGAAAGAAAGAAAGAAAGAAAGAAAGAAAGAAAGAAAGAAAAAAGTTCAAGAGAGCCCCCAAATGGGAGGGTTGCAGAGGGTTGCACGGGACCGCAAGTTGCACACCCTTTACCCCCTAGCCCCCCCTCCACGACCCCCCGGGGGGTCCCCCAGCTCACCCAGGCAGCGGGTTCCGTCCTGGCTGGTGGCGAACCCCGGCGGGCAGGAGCACATGTAACTGCCCACCGTGTTGATGCATCGGCCTCCCGAGCAGAGGCCGGGCACCCCGGCACACTCATCCACATCTGCTGGACGCGAGGGTCCCGTCAGTGGGGGGCGGGCCACGGCGGCGGGCCACCCCCTCCCCCCATGCCCCACTCACCCTGGCAGGCACCCGTGTGGGTGTTGGGAATGAATCCCCGGCGGCAGGGGTGCGGTTGCGCGGGGCACCGCTCGCAGGACAGGCCCCAGGCGCGCCCCACGGTGGCACAGCAGAGGGCTTTGGTGTACATGAGGCCGGGCAGCTGGTGCTGGCAGCCCTGGGGGCCCATCTGGCTAAAGCAGGGTCCCGTCCGGTAGTCTGGGGCGGGGGTCGGGGGGGGGGGGAACAGAGGTAGGTCCATAAGGTAACTGATCCCCAAGGCTGCCCCTAAACTAGCATCTCCTACAAGTCCCTGCCCACAGCCTCAGCTTGGGACTCGTCCTGTTCCCTTTCTCAGCCACCCTCCTCCGCCAACAAGTCTTATGTTTATGCCATTTCCCTGCTCGACCTCAACGAACTCCTACTCACCCTTCAAAACCCTTTCCCTCCGACCCATTCCCCAACCCACTTCCAAGAGAAAGGTCAGGATCTCCAAGTCCACAAAGGGAGCAGATCACAAGACCTTCCCCTCCCCTTCCCCTTCCCCACTGCCCCAGCCCCTCCATCTCTTCTGGCCAAAGCAGGGGACCCACCCATGGACATAAACGCCCAGCTGAGGAGTTTGCCTCAGACTGAGCACACACGTGACCCTGGAAAGTGTCCGAGACGTTGAGTGAGGGCCCCGGCATCTTTCCAAATACTCTGGAACCACCCGCCCCCACCCCCTTCCTTCAGCCCAGAGTAACCGAGTCAGCCCCCATACCCACACCCACTGCCATCCACTGTCTGATCGGACACATGGGACCATCCACTGTGTGTTCCCTGAACACCTGGGGTCCCACCCTCGTCCCATTTCCAGTGCCGCACACTCTGTCATGCGAGACCCTGATCGAGACTGTCTGATCAGAGACTTCTGGGTTCCACGCTCCAGCTGGGTCTAATCAAGGGTTTGGCCCTGGGCCAAGTGAAGCCCCTCCTGGAAGCAGAAGCCAAAGATGGGTCCCCCCCACAACCCCACTGCCCCAGGAACTGGATCTTGGTTGGAGGCGGGACTCCCTTAAAACCCCAGCGCACCCCCAGATGGCACCGTCTTCCTAAGTCAATGCGGGGTTCCCAGAATCTGACCCGATTCTCCACAGAACCTGCCTTAGTACTCAGCTCCACCTCAGTCTGGGGGTTTTACTACCCGGGATCATTTGTCGTGTGTGTGTGGTCATCCAGCTCATGAACCTCCCCTTACCCCTTCCTCCAGGAGGCCCTCCCTGATGCCTTCCCTGACGCAGCTGGCTTTTCTGCCCTTCACAGCAACAGAAAGGAGGCAAGGGAACCTGGGAGAGCCTGGCCGCCCCTCTGTGCCCCGCTCCCTTCCCTCCCCTGGCACCCATTCCCACCCCCCCAGGGCCTCCTGACCTCTCTCACACTGTGGCCCCATGAAGCCATATACACAGGCACAGAGGCCGGGTCCGATGCAGCGACCCCCGTTGTGGCAGCCACGGTCACACACGGCTGTGAAGAGAGAGAAGATGACTCTGGGGTCCCTCCAGCCATTGAGGGAACTGGGGCGGGGGGGATGACACCAGCCATTTTAATCCACACCCAGAGATGCTCAGGGCTGACTCCAGGCTCTGCACTCAGGAATTACTCCTGGCAGTGCTCAGGAAATCCCACGGGATGCCGAGGATTGAACCTGGGTTGGCTGCATGCAAGGCAAGCGACCTCCACACTGGACTATTATTCTGGCCCCAGCAATTTTGTTTTTGTTTGTTTGTTTTTTTTTTTTTTTTGCTTTTTGGGTCACACCCGGCAATGCACTGAGGTTACTCCTGTCTCTACACTCAGGAGTTACCCATGGCAGTGCTCAGGGGACCATATGGGATGCTGGGTATCGAACTCGGGTCGGTCGCATGCAAGGCAAACGCCCTCCCCGCTGTGCTATCGCTCCAGCCCCTTGGGGTTTTTTTTTTTGGATCCCCGGCTCGACACTCAGGAGTCATTCCTCACGGTGCTCGGGGGATTCTACGTGGTGCCAGGAATCAACCCTGGGTCAGCCGCGTGCAAAGCTAACGCCCTCCTCCCTGCTGGAGTCCCAGAAACCCCATACTCTGGCCAAGACGCAGAGAGGTGGGCAGGGACGGGGCGATGAAGGAATCGCTCTAATCCCCGAGCTGGAGACGCTGAGCCCTTCGGTGGGGGACTGGCAGCAGAGACCCCCTCCCAGACACACGCACACACATGCATGCGTACGTACATGTATACACACGCATGCACACGCACACAGGCATATGTACAAACACGCACGCACATATGCACACACCCAAACTCGTGCACGCACGCACCCCCCACATGCATGCACACCCCACATGCACGCGTGCGCACACCCCACATGCAAGCGCGCGCACCCCACATGCACGCGCGCGCAAACCCCACACGCACGCACACGCACACCCCACATGCGCGCGCACGCCCCACATGCACGCGCGCGCACACCCCACATTCACGTGTGCCCCACATGCATGCACACGCACACACCCCCCACATGCACGCGCGCTCACACCCCACATTCACGTGTGCCCCACATGCACGCACGCGCAACCCACATGCACACGCATGCACACCCACATGCACGTGGACGCACGCGCACGCACACACACACACACACACTTTCTATGCTTGGTTCAGAGGCGCCAGGAGTCGGGTACTCACGCTGCCCACAGGCGGTGCCCGTGTAGCCCCTCGGGCACAGGCAGGCGTCTCCTCTGCAGCTGCCTCCGTTCATGCAGCTCATCCTGCACCCCAACCCTAGGGAGGAGGGAGAAGGGAGCACGATGGGCTGCGGACACCTCCAGACGCCCACACACAGTCCCCTCAGCTCCCGGTTATTTTCAGTTGTGTGTGTGGGGGTCAAACCCAAAAAGTGCTCAGGGGTTATTCCTGGCTCTGCACTCAGGAATGACTCCCGGCGGGGTTCAGGGGAGCCTATGGGATGCCGGGGATCGAACCCCCGACGGCCGCGTGCAAGGCCAGCGCCCTCCCCGCTGTTCTCCCTCTCCAGTCCCAGGCTTCTGGTTTCTCAGCAGAACCAGCCTGGACTCCCTGTCACCTCCAACCTTCCCCTCTCGCCCCCCCTCACCTCTTCCAGCCACTCACCTGGGCTCAGCCCGCAGCTGGGGGCCAGCTGCCCACTGGCGCAGACGCAGAGGTTGGGGCGGGAGCAGAAACCCGGGCCGCAGGCGTGTCTGCAGACGGCTGGCATGGGCACAGGGCGTGACTGTCAGAGCCAGGAACCCCGACAATGCCGGGGCCGCCCCGACTCGACGGTTGGCACCCACCCAGAAGAAGGGGGTCTCTGGGTCAGAGCCGCGTCATGGTGGGTAGAAGCTGGAGATACCTTTAGGGGGGTGTTGGCTGTGTGTGTGTTGGGGGGGTGAGGGTTCCCCTAGAGAATGGAGTGAGAGAGCAGAGTGGGAAATGCAGAGAGACTGAGTCAGAGGAACAGATGGAGAGACAGACAGACAGGATAGATCAGACACCTTTGGGGAGGGCACCTGCTTGGCACACACACGGCAGACCCGATTCGATCCCCGGCATTCTATTTTTTTTTTAAATTTTGGGATCACACCTGGCAATGCACAGGGGTTCCTCCTGGCTCTGCACTCAGGAATCACTCCTGGCGGTAGCTCAGGGGACCCTATGGGATGCTGGGAATCGAACCCGGGTCGGCCGCGTGCAAGGCGAACGCCCTCCCCGCTGTGCTATGGGCTCCAGCCCCTCCCCGGCATTCTATAGGGTTTCCTGAGCCCCGCCAGGAGCCGTTCCTGAGTGCAAAGCCAGGAGTTACCCCTGAGCACTGCTGGATGTGGCCCAAACACACACACACACACACATACACACACACACACACACACACACACACACACACACGCAGAGGCATAGTTGGATCATCCAAGGCCAGTCAGAACCAGCCAGCTTGGAAGACAAAGGAAATGGAGTTAGTAGGTTGGACCAGGGCCTGAGGTCCCGACCCCCTCATCCCCAGATGGGTCCATCTGTATCCCGCACCCCTAAGTGCCCCCCCACCCCCCACCTCAAGGCTGAGCCCCGCGCTCCCCGCCTGCACCACCTCCCGCGCCCTGTAGGTGGCAGCACTCACGCACGACGCACTGGTGCCCTCCTGGGCGCGTCCTCCAGCCAGGACAGCAGTAGGGGTGGACCCGTGAGCCACACACGTTGGGCCTTGGGGGCAGGAACAGGGCTGGTGAGCTCCGGGCCGGGCTGGGCATCCCCTGGACTGCTGAGATACGACCACCCCCTTCCCCCCGGCCCTGCTCACACCCCTGCTCACACCCCAGGGTACCACGCACCCCTGCAGGAGGCCTGGGCCACCACCACGCCTGAGCACACGTCCGGGACCCGCAGGCTCCAGGGCCCCGTCCCAGAGTCCTTGCACACCCACCATGCACCCCAGGCCCATCCAGGCCAGCAGGAGCTGAGCCGGAGGACCCCGGGCCATGGCGGGGTAGGGGTGGGGGCCACCAGTCCTCGCCAAGCACTGTCCTTTGAGAAGCAAGACCTTGGACGGCGGGGAACTCCAGCAGACGCTCTCCAGAGAATCAGGCCAGGGTTGGCTGGGAAGCAAGGAGACGTCAGGGGGGGCTTCCTGGAGGAGGTGAGATGGCACAGAGACGGAATTAGTCAGCCGGGGCCGTAGAAAGCAGAGTGGGGGGGTGGCTGGAGCGACAGCACAGCGGGTAGGGCATTTGCCTTGCACGCGGCCGACCCGGGTTCGATTCCCAGCATCCCATAGGGTCCCCCGAGCACCGCCAGGAGTAATTCCTGAGTGCATGAGCCAGGAGTAACCCCCGTGCATCGTTGAGTGTGATCCAAAAAGCAAAAAAAAAAAAAAAAGAGTGAATCAGGAGGGGGCTGGACCGATAGCACAGCGGGTAGGGTGTTTGCCTTGCACACAACCGACCCGGGTTCGATTCCTAGCATCCCATATGGTCCCCTGAGCACTGCCGGGAGTGATTCCCGAGTGCAGAGCCAGGAGGAACCCTTGTTCATCGCCGGGTGTGACCCAAAAGGCAAAAAAAAAAAAAAGAAAGAAAGAAAAGAAAGCAGAGTGGGCCGAAGAACCAGAGGCAGAACTTTGGCTTGAAGGTCAAGAGTGATGGAGTGTCCCTATTTTATTGGTGTCTTACTGGTGTTTGGCACACCCTAGAAGTTCTGGAACAGAACTCAGGGCTTCCTGCTCTGCACCCCCAGTTTCAAGTTCCTTATTTTTAATTGGCAGCGGGGGTGGGGGTGATTTGAGCCGCCTCCTATGATGCCAAGATTCATTCCTGGCTCTGCACTCAGGAGTTGCTCCTGGCGGGGCTTGGGGGGACCCAATGGGGTGCCAGGGATCGAATCTGGATTGGCCGTGTCCAAGGCAAGTGCCCTCCCTGCTGTCCTATCGCTCTGGCCCCCGCAATTTGTTTGTTTAAGGGCCACACACCCGGCAGTGCTCAGGGCTGACTCCTGGTTCGGTGCTCAGGGATCATTCCTGGAGGTGCTCCAGGACAGCCCCTGCGGGGCTGGGTTTCAAACCCGAGTTGACTGCGTGCAAGGCAAGCGCGACCCCCTGCCCAAGACTCCAGCCCCGCCCTTTATTTTCCAAATTATTTGGTACTTGGAAACGCTCTCCAGGGCTTCCGGCATGTCAAGTCTATCAGAGAACTTGGAATTATTTGATTTCTGGGCCACACCCTGCGGCGCTCAGGGCTGACTCCTGGCTGTGCGCTCAGGAATCACTTCGGGGAGCCTGAGGGATGCAGAGGATGGAACCGGGGTGGGGGTCGTGCGAGGCAACCGCCCTCCCCGCTGTCCTGTCGCTAGGCAACAAGGTCGCAAGGCTGGCTGGGCGCATCCCAAAGGAAGCCACTGAGGAGACTGAGGCAGGGTCCAGGGCTCCCACAGGCACTGGACACCAGAAGACAGATGGGGGAGGCGTTAAGGGGACTCCCCAGAATAGGGCCAGGGCCAGGGCGTGGGGAGGGGCTGACCTTCGTGCCCATTGCTCAGGTGTGCAAGCCAAGGCCCTTCCTGGGGGGGTGGGAGGCGGCGGATAGGGGAAGCGTGACCCCCACAGACACCACCCGGGGGATGGCTGCTTCTCTCCAGCACCGGAGAACCGAGAATGAAGAGAAGCCCCTCCCGAGAGCCGCGGGGGTGGGGAGGGGGCAGCAGGATGCTGTGCGCCCTCGGGCTCTCGGCGCACCGTCTCTGGGCCGTGGGAAGGCAGCAAGCAGCGCCAGGCGAGGCTCTCCAGAGAAGGGAAAGTCTCGCCTCCCTGCAGACGGGCGGGGCGGGGGGTGTCAGCGAGCCCGGCTCGAGAGTGACACCCCCACCCCCCCATTCGCTTCCAAAGGATCCCCCCACCCCGCGGCGCGTCTGCGCGCGCTCCAGGCAGTTGCAAGAGCGCGCGCGTCCTCAGAGCCCACCGCGGGGGTGGGGTGTGGAGGGTTGGGGAAGGGGGTGGTCTCGGGGCCAGGTGGGGGCGGGGGGTGGTCTCCGGCCCGGCCCACCGCGCCCGGGAATCTGTCGAATGAATGAGCGGGGCTGGGGCTGGCGCGCTCGGCGCGGGCGGCCGCGGGGCGGGGTGGGGGGCGGGGAGCGAGGGGTGGGCTGGGGTGGGGTGGGGTGGGCCGGGCGACGGGGGGAACGCGCGCCCCCCAACCCCCCACCCCCGGGGCCGCCCCACGCTCGCGGGTCCGCCCTCACCTGTGCGCGCGGGGCCCGGGGTGACCCGCGCGCGCCCCGCGTGGGACCCGCCTCCCGCCCGGGCGCGGCGCCCCGCGTCCCCCCTCCGACCCGGGAGCGGGCGGGGGGCTGGGCCCGGGGCTGCTGGCTGCAAACAAAGGGCTCCCCTCCCCCCACGCTCCTCCCCGCGAGTCCCCGCGCCCACCCCGCGCCGCGCGCCCCGCCTTTCACCGACCTGCCTGCGGCCGCGCGCGGGGCTCCGCGGGGGCGGGTGGGGGGTCGGAGGGGACCCCCGGAGCGGCCCCCGGGGCGGGATCGCCGAGTCGCCGAGCCCCGCCGCCTTCCCAGGCCAGAGCTGCCACTCTGGGGGGAGTTGGGGGGCGGGAGGAGCCCGGGGGTGGGGGGTGGAGGGCGCGTCCCGCACCTCGAGCTCGGGGGCTGGGGGAGGGGCCGCTGCTGGGGGAGGGCCTGGGGCTCCCGGGGAAGCTCCGAGGGGCGCGGAGCGGTGGGCGGAGGGGGGCCAGCTCAGAGCCGAGGCGCGGGGTGACGCTTGGGGGGCGCGATTTCTCTCCTGCACTCGGGAGCCGCGGAGGGAGCCCGAGGGCGCCCCTGAATTGGGCCCTTCTGGAAGAGTCTGGGCGGGAAGGGTCCCGGGGCTCACCTGGGAGGCCCTTTGACAGCCCCCCAACCCCCACCCCCATCCCTGGGACTAGGAGAGAGAATTCCCGGGGTGACGCAGGAAGCACACCTGGCCTCTGGCGTCTGGTCTGGATTTTATTTTTTTCTCGTTAAACGAAGACCCGGAGGTCTTCCAAACCCGCAGGCAAAATATTTGAGCAAAGATGCATTTGCTGGGGGCTAGTTCACACTTTCCATCTGATGGTCAGGACCCAGAAGGGCCTGGCTCTCCGCAGCTGCGGATTCTCTTACCTGGCGACCGGGCTTGTCTGCAGAATTTGCAACCCACCTTCTGGAGTTTGCAGACCCAGAGAACATGTCTAGGTTCCGAATCCCACCCTAACCCCTGTTGTCCACCTTGGAAAATTAACACCACCTGTTAGCCCTCAAAGGAGGGGATCTCTCTCTCTCTCTCTCTCTCTCTCTCTCTCTCTCTCTCTGTCACACACACACACACACACACACACACACACACACACCTAGACGGTCCTGGAAGATGTGTGTGTAGTCACTCAGCAAGCTCCTATGCATTCTACAAAGCCCCAGTACAAACAGCGCCTCCTCACCCCCAAAGTGTTCATTGATTTTATCGGTTTCCCAAAGCTGTTTGCACTGATTGCTCTTGCCTCTGTGACTGATCGATATGATGAGTTCATGTTCACTGGGTGCTTGCATGCCTGGCTGGGAGTTAAAAGTTTCACTCACATCTCTTGATGACTCCGAAAGAAATAAAAAGGGGCTGGAGTGATAGCACAGTGGGTAGGGCGTTCGCCTTGCACGCAGCCGACCTGGGTTCAATTCCCAGCATCACAAATGGTCCCTCAAGCACCGGCACAAATAATTCCTGAGTGCACAAGCCTGGAGTAACGCTTGAGTAACCCTTGAGCATGACCCAAAAAGAAAAACAAAGAAAAGTTCTTTTGAATAGGGCAGGGGATGGGACTCCCCAAGCACCACCAAGTACAGCCCTGGAGAACCCTGACTAAGTACCATCAAGAGTGCCCGCCTGTCCCCTCCCAGGCCCTCACAATAAAAGTCCCAGCAGAGAGACTAACTGTCCCAGTGTGGACCCCTCAGACTACATACACATGGCCAACCAGAAACAGGAGCATCAGGGCTGATGAGAGCACCGTGGGGAGGGCACTCTCCTTGCAAGTGGCTGACCTGGGTTCAATACCCAACATCCCATAGGGTGCTCAGAGCCTTGCCAGGAGTGATCCCTGAGCACTGCTGGGGAGGACCCAAATAAAGAAAATTTCAAAAGGCCAGAAAGGGGGGGCCAGGGGGCCGGAGCAATAGTACAGCGGGGAGGGCATTTGCGTTGCACGCGGCTGACCCGGGTTCGATCCCCAGCATCCCATATGGTCCCTGGAGCACCGCCAGGAGTAACTCCTGAGGGCAGAGCCAGGAGTAACCCTGAGCATCGCCGGGTGTGACCCAAAAAGAAAAAAAAAAGTGGGACCAGGGCGATCGTCTAGCAGGCAAGGAACTTGCCTTGCACGCCGCCAACCTGGGTCCCATCCCCGGCACCCGGAGGGTCCCTGAGCCCTGGCAGGAGTCAGCCCGGAGTGCCGCCTCCACGGGTGACCGCCAAACTGCACCCACAACATGCCCGGGCATGGGGAGTCTCAGAGTTGCCTCGTCTGTGCGTGGGGGTGGGGACGGGTTGTTCTCATCCAGAGAAGCCCCTGGGGACAGTCACCCTGTTGCCTTCCATCGTCCGTGGGCGGCATGGCCTTTCCCCTCCCCCATCCCAGCACCACGCAGGACGGTCAGAGGCTCATAGGAAACATGCCGGGGTCGAAACGTGCCGGGGTCTCCCCACCCCATTAGCCACAGTTCCCGCCCTCTCTGTCTCCGCCCACGAAGCCTGGGGTAGTGGTGCAGGAGCTGACCTAAAGGACTCATGGGGCTCTGGGTTCGATCCCCGCCAGATATGGCCCCGGTGACCCCCCCCCCAATTCTGCTGGACTCAAAAACAGGCATTTGCAGGGGCCAGAGCAATAGCACAGCGGGTAGGGCGTTTGCCTTGCATGCGGCAGACCCGGGTTCGATTCCCAACGTCCCATAGGGTCCCCTGAGCACCGCCAGGGG